GTTTATCACAGATATCGGGGGAAAAAATACATCTCGAAGCAAAAAATGTGGTTAAATTGGCAAAACGCAGCAATTAAACAGAGAAGAAGGACGCCCCACAGCTGAGCTGGAAATAACAAACACAAAGTTGACATTTTGCAGATGAATGTCAGTGCATAGAAGCTGGTGCACGAGGGGCTTTAGCGAGAGAGAGAGAGATAAAGAGAGAGAAAGAGAGAGATTATGTGGGCAGAGGCGTGCACGTACAGTTACATGCTGCAGCAAGAGTTCCCTAAGCAACATATTAACGCGCCGCTGCCGGTAAACAAATGACTGTGTTTGAAGAACATCAATCTGTGTGGCAACGCTTTGATTATGGCTCCTGTGGAGAGGGAACATTTCTCAAACTCCAGGAAATATATGGGCATAACAAAGATTCAATAAAAACTAAACAGGTTATATTTATTTGAGCATAAATCAATATATCAAAGAGAGAAGGATTACGGATGTGTGGCATGGAGGTGTGGTGGTTGTGGAGGTGTGGTGGTGGTGGTGGTTGTGGAGGTGTGGTGGGGGTGGAGGTGTGGTGGAGGTGGAGGTGTGGTGGTGGTGGTTGACGACGGGAAACTGCATTTTGTTTTTCAATGTACTACTGTGTCTTGCATACACGATTATTTATTTTATTTATGTATTTTTGTTAACTTTTTTAATGCAACAAAATATAACAAAAATCCAGCAAATCCAACAGTAAAACATTCCACCAAAAGAACAGGAGTAGAATGAAGAAAAAAAACATCTTATAAACTCCTACTCTATTCTTTTAGAAATAAATTAACAAATTAGACGGCCTAACCGGCACCAAACTATAATAATAATTAATATATTTAATGACTGTTTTTACAGATTTTTTACAGTGACTGTGCAGCGCTTTGTAACACAGATTTGCCAACGAGTTTTACATTTACACTTGTCTTCAGAAGCATTTTAGGAAACACAGAATTCCTTCCATGTTTTGACTGAAAGGAAACTTCAGTCAATCGTCAGGAAGTTAAAATAATCAGGTTGATAATAAAGTACATCCCACTAAGCTGCTGCAGTGTTCTCCTCGAGTGAATAAAGTATAAGTTTGACAGAATGCGAATGAAATATCGATGGTCCAGAGAGTTCCAGGTGCTACAGTTTGCTGGTGTCTGAGAGATGGTCTTTTCAAATGCAGCTCTCGCAGAGTTAATTCACTTTTACAGCTTGCCAAGCCAATGAATAAAATATGATGCTCTGGTTTTAGGGAAATAAACTAAAATCCTCTTCCAAAACTTTTTTAAAGCAATATTATTCATGCGCAGAAGAATGGAACCCAGAGCTGTGTGGACCTGGTTTATTGATGTCTCCACAACCGGAATATAACAAATGTTTTGTGTTGTGACAAATAGAGCAGTGGTAAAGATTAAGTTGCATGCGAAAGTCTGATCCCGTCAGACCTCTGAAGCTTTGCAGTGCAGGGCCTGGTCATTACTGTGATGGGAGACCTCCGGAGACACCAGGTGCCACAGTGGGGCGGTTGCGGCTGTAAAGTGCCAAACTGTGGTTGTGTCCATAGGCAAGACACTTCACCCACATTGCGTAAAATGACTCTGGTGTGTGTGTGTGTGTGTGTGTGGGTGTGATTGGGGCCAATGGCACATAATGGTTCCTTGCTTCTGTCAGTGTGCCCCTGGGCAGCTATGGCTACAGTATCACCACCGTGTTTAGAGTAAAAGAATAACATGTGAAGCATCTTTGAGTGCCCTGAAAAGCGTTGTATAAAACCTATAAATTATTTTTTTTTATTAAGGCTTCCAAAAACCACAACAAATAAAACTATGAATAAAATGTACATGTTTTGAATAAAATGTAAATGTACCTGCCGAGGGACAACAAATAGAAATTATCTTTTCTGCTCTAATCTACAAGGAGCACAATGGAGAGAAACCTGATTCTCAACATTTCAGAAGGTAATTCTGACAGAAGACTGAGGCACTCAAAAGTTACAAAAATCTTTAAAAGCCTTTATTTGACATGGCAAAAAGAGGTTAAAATTACGCCTACGCGTTTCAGCCTTCTGGCCTTCTTCAGAGTATGCCCTGAAGAAGGCCAGAAGGCTGAAACGCGTAGGCGTAATTTTAACCTCTTTTTGCCATGTCAAATAAAGGCTTTTAAAGATTTTTGTAACTTTTGAGTGCCTCAGTCTTCTGTCAGAACTATCAACATTGGTCCCTCCACTGAAGAGCACCAAAAGTTTACTTTTTTCCTCACTTTTTTCCTCATTTAATTTTTACATCCAAGAAGCACTCCAGCCCTGTCTACTGATTTCAGAAGGTAAGTTTACATACCCTGGTTATTTGACCATCATCCAACAAATACCCAAATTAAAAATGGTAATAGATAATACATTCTGCATTTCTACATTCTACGTCTTCAACCCCTCAAGATGTAATGTCACACAACAACGTACATATGATGCCGGAATATTTCTTTGAAGGTGTGACCCAGAGTTTGAGTGTAGCCCAACGTGGAAGATTTGAACAAATGTGTATGTTTTTGTTGGAGGGGAATCCATGGATCCAGAAGAAAATTCCTGTTTAAACCAGTGTGGGCAGGTCCCGGCTCCAAAAGGTCCATGAGCAAGTACACGACATGCTGTAATCTCACTCCTAGCTGGTGGGGGTGTACCCGGAAAGAGAATAACCCAATGCTTTTGTCTTTACAGGATGGTCCAACAGTTGCTGTCAAAGCTGAAGTTTTTTTTTTTTTTTTGACCAGTCTAGTTTAGCCGCTGTGGACTTTTGAATGCACTTGTAAAATGAATGGGGCTAACACAAGCGCAAATGCGTTTTTTTCACATTTTCCTGCCATGCGGCCATTTTGAAAAAGCCACAGAAGCCAAAAGTTGTGGCACATCAGTTTCAATGACGGAGATAAGCGTTACTACATCCGTTAATATTTACAGTCTATGGTTTAATTCCTTTGTGGCAGTGTGTGGTGTAAAAATATGAGAACTGTGTTGATGTCCCACTATCCATGGACCCAACCTTCTCTTGCTGTAACATGGTACTCTACATAGTTACAGAAAAGTGCCGTGGCCTCTTTGAGCGATAAAACCTCGTGTTTACACAAAGCACTATGAACCACCTTCCTCTGCGTCGCTTTCCCTCTCCGCTTTTTATCTTTGAGAGTTTGACAGGCCTAGCTGGGCAGTACGACGCAGATTGGTGTGAAATTGGCTCTGTTATTTTTGGAGCAGAGTCATGGGGGACGTTGGACCATCATCCTCTCTCTAATGAGCAGGTGATGGGGAGGGGGCACCAAAGAGGGTGGGGGGATGCAGTTCAAATACCACACACAAGGTGGATGAACAGATGAGAGATGACTGATAAAGTACCGACAACAGGGAAGGGGAAGGGTTTTGTGGAGGGTGAGGTTTACAGTTTAGAGGAATGTATAAAGCTGAATGTCCAAATGTTACTTGTAATACACCAAATCTAATGCACTATTATCCTTATTATTATACATACGCCTATAGCAATCAATACAAAAATCAATAACCACTCATTTGTAGTGTGCATCCAGGTGTTAAGAGGGAAGATGGATTGTTTAAAACTGGAAAAGAAAATTTCTCAAAACAACAGAAGCAATACACAGAAGCAAAGATGCAGAGTAAAACACTGCTTGTATTTAATTCAGAGAGTTCACAGACCTACAATATCACAGTGAACCTAGTGCGGCTGAAAAATCACAGCCACAGACCTTCAGAATATCACCAGAGCTTGCAGAAAACAAGTTTACCATAATGGCAGCAGTGTATAAAAACAGACACGACCACATAAAGAACCAAAGGCATTTCATAAGCGCACATTTCTCTCTCTAACTTCATGATCATTCACACACGTAGCTAAACACTGCCCCCTAGTGTCACGACCTTCACATACAACTCCAATGTGTTTTTATTTTCGCCTCTCAAAACTTGGAAATATCCTCACTTAAATAGTATTCCCTGATTATTCCCTGTTCAAGTTTATATTTGTAAAATATCTTTCTAGTGTCAATAGTTTAGTCAATGATTAGAATATAAGTTCAATATTTTACCCCAAAAAATTGCACATCTTAAAGATATTTGCGTAATAAATAAATAAATATAAAAAGTAGCAAGTTTTTTTTACTGCAAATGCCAGTTAGACCCGCCCCGACAGGTTCCCAATTGGATGCAATGAATTCAAATCCTTGATAGACAGCTGAGGCCCCTCCCCATTGGTCCAACTATTCTCCAGCAAATCTAACTGGTGATAGTTATGCCATGAGGAGGGATAGTTTTTTTAATATTATTAATGAAAATGACTAATGAATGATACCACAGGGTCATATGATCAAAAATATGTATTCCTATAACATTTAAAGTAGCAATATGAAAGATATTAATGTCAAGTCATCATTAAAGGGCCCTAATCTGTCAAAAGGCTTTAATATATCATGCTCTCTGCCAACACTTCTTCAACTGGTGACAGTAGTTCAGATATATTTCAAAATTGATTTTACAGCCTCTAAATCTGTTATTGTTTTCATATCCATGTCCCGTCCTCCACCATTTCACCAATCAGAAAGTCTGTGATCCGGGCACCAGAACTCACCGTGTCGAGTTAATCTCACTGGTAAAGTACCATGTGGCGCAGAACTATAAAAGATCTCGTTATGATTCTCAAATTATTAACGACAAAACAAGAAATAAAACCAGGATTTCTATCTTTGTGAAAAAGGTGTTGGTTAAATATATTGTTGTTGACAAAAGTCTTTATTCAGATATTATCGTCCCAGCTGGATTTGTCTGCATATCTGGCAACCTGAGTCAGGGAGAGTGGGAGAGGCTGCAGTACCACTTTTGGCCAGACTTTTACATATTGCTCCTTTAAATATAATTGAAGTTACAAATATCACCTTAAAAGAACGCCAATCCTGTGTTTATTTTGTACCCGTGTCTAGAGTGCTACATTTCACTGCTCTTCTGTCTCGTGGCGGGCCAAAGCAGGCGGCAGAGTGGTACCACAGGGGCCATTAAAGTGGAACCTGGAGGTACAAAAGGATTCGTTATGTGGTGGAGAAATTGAAAGTACTTATCATTCATGAAGCTGGATTTAAACCCACCTGAAGCGCATTGTAGCCGGAGTGTCTTCCATGTTGAATTCTGCAACTGGGACTCCTGCCGCTGCAGCCTGAGGAGCAAACATGGCTGCGGGGTACACAACAGAAGAAGTGCCGACCTGTCCAGATTAAACACACATTACAACAGCACACACAACTACACACCACAACAAGGGAGTTTAATAATAATGTACTATAATAATAATAATTATGAATTTGGTTTTATATAGCGCTTTTCTGGACACTCGGAGACACTTCACATGTCATTATTCATTCACTCCATACACAGTGGTGATAAACTGCCACAGCTGCCCTGAACACACTAAGTAAGTAAGTAAACTTTATTTATATAGCGCCATTCTCAGAACAGAGTCACAAAGTGCTTTATAATTGTTATTTTGGCATTAGTCTCTCACTCCACTCAGAGATGGGAATGAGGTCGCCAGTACAGGAGGCACATGCCAGACCTATTGTACATGTTTGAGTGCCTGGAGGAAACCTACGCAGTTACAGGGAGAACATGCAAACTCCACTCAGAGAGGTCCTGTTCTGACCAGGATTCAAAACCCAGGGACTTCTTGCTGAGCAGCGAAAGTGCTAACCACTCCGCCACTGTGCCGCCCTCGACCCCTCCCACCACCACCAACCATTCCTAACCCTAACCCCAGACTCATTCTAGTTCTGGTTGATTCCGTTGACACATAAAACAACAGTAAACAAATTGGTTAAGTTTAGTGGTTACGTTTTATATTGAAATGTAGAAGAGGTTAAAACCAAACTCACCACAAGGCACAAGTCGCAGCTCTCCATTAGTTTCTCAACTTGTGCGAGGATTTCCGAGTCCAGAGTTTCTCCAAACCACACAACAGCTGGTCTCAAAAGACCCTTGCAATCTTTGTGTTCACATCTGTGACATGACAAAGACAACGTGAAATCATGCTTATACAAGTTCTTCAAACAAGGGAACTCTGGGTAACTTTACCGAGGCAATAGCTCAACAGGGATCCGGGCTTCTTGTGTTTCAGGGTCAGGAGCTCTGAGGAAAACATTTGCGTTAAAAAAAGTGTTGAAAAACAAATGAAAAACACAATTGAATGGAATCCTGGTCTCTCCTGGTCCTACTCCTTGATTGTTCTCGGTTTGGAAAATACTAATACATATTGGGGCTTCCTGCAGACCTGAGCCGCTGAGCCGGTCTGAGTGGGTCCTGTAGATGTGCAGACGCATTTTGAAGCCTGTGCTGAAGAAGTCTTGATCCAGTTTTGCGTTTTAAAGTGATTTATTGATGTAAATAGTGCAGCAAACAAAATATGGGCATAAAAAACCTTTGACATGATGTGAGCAAACAAAGCATAAAAGGCAAACGGTCAACAAAAATTACAGGTACCCACTCAGCCCAGACTCTGACAGACTCACGCACACTTTTAGCCCCACTTATCTTATGTTTCAAAGGAATTCTGCAACATACAAGGATACGTTTTTTTTTTTCACTTTAGTCTCAGTTTTTCTATTCATTCTATTATTTTTAAAAACTCCTCCAGCTTTCATTCCTCATTCGCTACTGTGGCATTCTCACCTAAAATGTCATTTTTAATTCTCTTCAGAAAACTCCAACTATAGTCACTCACCCTTTGCCTTCCAAGGCGCTGCAGATGGGGCTTTGGTGATTGGGAGCTTCATGGCCACAGGTGACACAGCGGGTTCTGAAGAGGCTTCCTAAAAAACACATGGAAACCAACCACATTATGCTCAACATTTACATCTACCTGGAAATACAACAAACCAAAGGATAATATGGACTCAAGATCCAGAGATTGGGAGTTTAGACATGGTTATTGCACTCTTAAACAGAAACCTTTTAAATATACCCCTTACACAGTGTATACTATAGGTTTAAACAGAGTCAATGATTCTTATTCTCATTAAAAATAGTTTTTTGACCATCTGGAAAAGTAATGCAATAATTGATGTATTTTAGCAGTTATTGTGTAAACAATTCACAAAAACAAAGATTACTTGAGTATGTCCATGAATAGAAACTGTGTGTAAAGCAATGCATGTTTTAATATGACTCTATAGCGCCCCCCTCAAAAAAAAATCTAACTGCAGAATGTGAATAAAATCCCATAGTCCCTATTTGCAAAGAGGCACAACATTCAAGTGGTGTCATTTATAGTTTGGGATCAAATATAAAAAGGTAGAATAGTTGTTTTGTTGTTCTTTTCATTTTCCTCTGAACATTCACCTCAAATTTTGACCCCTGAGAGTAAACAAGAGTCAATTCCATTTGACGCCACCAACAGACGCGGTGAATGCTTTTATAATTGGACTTGATAGCATGCTCTCAATGGGATGCTACGTGGTTTACCGTGTATTTCCAGGACCTTCTTGGAGCCAGCTCTGCGGTGGAGCTCGTCTATGTTCTGAGTGATGACAGTCACTTCACGTCCTTGTTTTCTCAGTCGTTCTTCACATTCTGCGATGGCCAGGTGCGCTGGATTGGGCGCTTTGGTGAGCATGACTTCTCGTCTGTAGTGATAAAACTCCCACACACGAGAGGGATTCCGAGAAAAGGCTTTTGGAGTCGCAAGTTCCTGTCACAGAGAAAAAAAAACATGGGTGATGTAGATTTTAAATACAGCACACGGCAATACAAAAATACACTTCTGTTTCCATTTTCTTTCATCCATGCATCATAAAATTATCTATACAATTATGAAATTCTATATTTAATCATGAAATGTTTTATATCAAAGTGTTTTAATATTATTTTTTAGTGGTCAATGAGATTTGTGTAAAACAATGGACAGCCTTAAATGCTTCCTCAGAAGGAGGGTCTCTCTCTTATCACCCGTGAGGGGAAGGAGATGAAACCAGACCAGGTTTTACCATATATGGAGCAAAAGGGCGACAGTAGCTCAGTTGGTAGAGCATTGGCCTTAAGGCCAGAAGGTCGTGGGTTCAATTCCCACCTCTGCACCTTCTCCATCGACTCCCACTGATGACTGCTGTCGTTGTGTCCTTGGGCAAGACACTTAACCCCACTTTGCCCAAAAGCCCCCACTGAAAGATCAAGGCTATGCTCACACTCAGAGAGCAGCCGTCCTCCTGTGGACTCACCACCTGCAGAGGGTCAGTGAGGGGCTGGTGCTATGAGACTTGGGTGGCATCTCTGATTGCCACCCCCCTGACCCAGAAATGGATTAAAGGGTAGAAAATGGATGGATGGATGGAGCAAAAGTTTATATTTATTTTTTATTTATTTGATATGGACACAGCAGTTACATTGGACAGACCAGAAGCACTGCCTTTAGTGTTAGAGCAAGACCAGGCTAATTTTCAACACTTGTCCATAGAAGGCTTTTAGGACACAAATGCACACGTTTAAAACTTACAAATATAAAAGTAATTATATATACAGTTCATTAGCCATGTGAACAACGTTGTTCCGATTTCAGCCACAGTTTCAGACGTCTGACGAAGATGTTTAAGTCGGTTTGTAGTTTTAGGTCAGTGGGAAGAGCGTTTCACAGTTTGGCTCCATTGAAGGAAAAGCTGGACTGTCCCAACGATGTTCTGAACTTAGGAACCAGACAGTCCCCACTGACCGAGGCTCTGGTGTTAGGCCTTCGAGAGCCTTGACGTCTGACAGCCAGACCAGAGAACAGCGGTCTGGCTGTTGGCGTCTTCGGAGGCACTTCCTCTTTTCTACACATTTTAATAAAACTGTTTTGAATGACATTGTGAGTCAGTCTGAGCCAGGGACAGAGAGAGGACTTTGCGAGTACCTGGGAGTCCTCTGTTCGTTTTCAGGCCAGGAGGGACAGTTCATTTGGCTCAGCTCATAGGGATAGTAAGGGAAATTGGAGCTCAGAGAGTTTTGTTTTAGTATAAAATTGTAAAGATAATTAAATATTATTGATTTGGACTCTTGAATATCTTAAGCCTTAGGTGGCGATTGCACCTGTACCATGGTTTATTTTCAAGTCCCTACAGATGGAACAAGACCATACAAGATCAGGATTAGAGCACACACACATATACGAATGAGTATGTGTGTGTCTGTGCTGAGACCTGTGCTTGCCATGTTCTCCAGAAACCTCCAGCTCCTCTGAAAGTGGGCACTCCGCTCTCAGCACTGACCCCTGCTCCGGTCAGGACCACGATATTCTTTGCTTTGGAGAAAGTCTCTCTGAAGGCCGCCATATCTACAAAGAGCAGGAATTACATTAATTAATTAATTAATTAATTAATTAATGGGTTTTTATACGGACAATAGAAAATAAAATATTTTCTATTGTCCGTTTCTACTTATCAAAATCCATCCATCCTTCCCCTTAATCCATTTCCGGGTCGGGGGGGTGGCAGTCAGAGCTGCACCCAGTACACAAGCCCCTTATCAATATAACAAAACAAAAACAAAAACTTTCAGATTTCCCTTTAACTTAAAAGATCAAGATCATCCAACCAGATAGACTAAAAACAACACAAGAAAATTATCAAAGCTGTGTGTACATATTACAATGCTTATGTTTGATATCCACAAAGTAACCGTCTTTTCAATATTTATTTTTTTTGAATAATAAATATACGTTTTGGCCACTTTTGAGCTGGGACCCACCCCCACTGGTAGAGACTTAGCGTGACGCTCGCTCTCCTCCAATCACAGATCGAGGCTGCGTCCTCTAGCTTCTAGCGCTGCTAAACACAGTAGCATGTTGGCAGAATTGGCTATAACTCCTCTTGCTGTAACTGCAGATACAGCAAAACAGCCCAAACGACACAACAGAGAGGAAGAGAAGAGGGAACTAAAGCTAAAAAATGATCAAAGAAGAAATCATGCCCGAGTGAACATATCTAGCTTACATCGTATCCTCTGGAGAGACTTGTTTATGGGAGAGACCTGCGGGACTGCCATAATTATATATTTTGTTAGAAGAGCGTTGCTTTTGTACCATTTCATCAGTGATTGTTGTACAGCTTAAGTTGCACTAATGCTAATGTTAGCATATAGGTCGCAAATAAAACTAGATGGCTCCGTGGGATGAGCGCGTAGGGGAAATGAGAAACCTGTGAGTGAGATGAGGGGCGGTGCTAAACATTCAAACCTTACAGAAATGGGTAAAGCTCTTTTAAATCATTTAGTTTGAGTAGTTTGCATGAATAAATAACGGATTAGTGTGTTCTCGATAACTTGTCACAACAGTCATTACAAATCAAATGCATGGCTCAGTTCACAATCTTTACTATGTTTGTCATTGTTGCTGACAGTTATGCCGTTGCTTTAATGTTTTATATTTTTGGTTTCACGATACAACACTATATAATCCAGGTCATAGTCAAAGGTATGTCTATGACGCCAACACTGTGGAAATTGGTCCTCACCCATGTCAAGGAAGCAGACACAGGTAAGACTCAGGTAAGAGTTGGAAATACAACTTTCAGTCTAAAAACACAGATTGTCAAGTGTGAAACCTGAACACTGGGAAAATGACCTGAACTGGGTCTGGCCATCTCTATCCCCGTTCTCCACAGATGAGCACACACTCGGGGATGCAGAAGTCCACGAAGGGAGATGTGCTGGTGGATCATGTGAACTGAAATGAGAAGTTAGTAAAAAAGTGTTGGTACATTCCACAGCCGTAGACACGATGACAGAAAAGGTGTTGGTGCGACCGGTCACAGTTACATGTAAGTATTTATCCCCTTTAACATATCTCCCAGTGTTATTGTAGTAGATCATGGGTGATAGTCAACAAACCTGTCATACCAGTGCACAACACACACAGGAAATAAACATACGTGTGGCTGAAGAAGGAAGGGTTGCCAGACAAGGTTTTTACTTTTAGCGATTGTACTTAAAGATTATTCTTAAAATAGTGATCTTATATAACTGCCCATAATCCTGTATTATAGAGAATTATCGGTGTCTTTAAACGGCTGATAAACCCTGATTCTAATAAAGAGTAGCCTTAGGCTACCACAAAAAATAGACACTGGTTCGCTGATTAGTTTCAATCTGGCAACTGCAGTCAAGACAGTAACGGCAAGTGTCCACTAGAGGGCACAATAGACCTGATCAATGCTCGCAGGACTGTCTGTGCTGTTTGTGGTGAGCAGAACTGATAAATCACACAAAATATAAAACAAATAGATGACCTAATGAAATGAACTGAAAAACTATTGGGGATGAATAATGTCACCGTCTTGTTCAGAAAACTAGTCCGGGAACATTCTGCCAATTAGCCTCATCATTTGTTTAGTTCTACACCAAAAGGCAGAGTAGAAGGACATAGTGTTGTGAGACTCCAGTCTATGAGATGGACCTGACTAGTGGCTAGTATCAGCAGAGCAGGATCCCCTCCTCCTCCACATTACAATAGGCTCTCCTCCCTCCCACACAGCGCAGGCCCTGGGTGCACCAGTGGCTGCTGTTGCGGTCCGTGTCCCTCATCCCGCCGCGCAGTGGACGTGTCCGCCGGGCCGAACATGGCCGCGGCTCCGGAGGAGGACGTGGACCGCAGACCGATCCGGAGGGTTCGCTCCAAGAGCGACACGCCTTATATCAACGAGGCACGGATCTCCCTGCACCTGGACACAGGTAGGCAGCGTGTGCACGGAGCTCTGCTCATGTCTGGGGGCGTTTTCTCCTTTTCCTTTTCTCTCAGTGATGACAGTGATGTTAGCATGTGTCCTGTTGCTGTGACCCTCACTGCCCCATGCTCCTCTGCTGCACCTCTCTGGAGCTAACCCTGTGACTCATGCTTTGACTGATGCGAAAGGAACATTTCTGCACAGGGGGTTTTAGGTAGAGAAGCATGGTTTATTAACACCTTTTTCCTAAATCAGCTCATCAGACCTGAGCCGGCGGCCGCTATAGCGAAAACCTGTTCAATAGGAGCGATGCTATTGTTTTTGCCTTAAATAAGATGAGGAAGAGGTGTTTGGGGAAGACCATATGTGGTGTGGTGTGTAGTTTGTTGCTAACGGCAATACAAATGCAATTTGAGCCATACAATTGATCATGAAATCCGATCAAGTTGGATTTGTGTGAGAAACTGCAGCCACATGTCTGCGCACGCACGGAGCTGTCCACGGCGCCTTGGTGCTGAAACTGCTTCATGTGCGAACTGAGCCTTCTGCCTTGGCCCATCTTATTTCTATTGTCGTTTCTCATATAGGTGTTTCCCAGCAGTCGTAGCTCAGTCTGGACCCTCCACGAACTGCTTCTGCACAAAACCCAGCCCCAGTATGTGCGTAGAAGTCTCTTGGAGAAACTGAAGGTTGTGTTTTAACAGTTCAGTTCAGTTTGTCCTCTTAGACATTACTCTCACGCATGTACTCTCACGCATGCGCCATGTGAGGGGACTGTTTTGATCGGCTGAGTGTTGTTTAATGAATTAGGCAGCTGGAGTTGTAATGCAAGAGATTATCTGACCCTTCAACATGGCAGTTGTCCTTTCCTTACAACATGGTCAAGTCCAATCCTGGTCCTATCGTCTGAGTGGCTTTATGTGCCACTGCTGTCCGGGTTTCTCTGTCTGCCTCTGCTCCTCTCTCAGTTTGTCGGTCTTGTGTTTGTTTCTTCAGTGTGTCACAGCCTTGGCCTGTTTGACAAACTATTGCACTTCACACTACAGTCCCACGGGTTCTAGATCACTGACCTACTGTCACTGTGAAGAACATCTTATAGACAGATAGATACTTTATTGATCCCTGTAGGAGAAAAAGTGTCCAGTAGCAGCAGAAACACATCCACCCAAACAAACAAAACAAATAAATTGATCATTTTAAAAGTATCTAACAATAATATTAAAATGCAACAGTCCTTCAGGTCACAGCAGCAGAGTTGGAGCCGCTTAGTTCTGACCATTTTCTCTGCTCTGGTCCAAAGAAAAATGCTAAATGCTTCATTAGCAATTTTTATTTTTTTGCATTCCTCTAGTGGATCTGTGCTTGATCCACTTGGTTCGGACCATGAATCCTCTCTGCTCTGGTGTGGACCAGTGTAAAACCATGAATCATCTCTGCTCTGCTCTGGACCAGTGTAAAACCATGAACACTGAACTGCAGCACTATCTCAGGCAGAAAAAAGCCAAACAACATAACCATTGTAAAACACAAAACAACAACAGTTTCAGAGACACTTAGGACTCGCTGCTGTTTCCAGAACATTCAAAAGTGAACTTTTAAACTTAAATCAGTGAGTGTGATGTTTTTTTCAAATTTCGACTATTTTAAAGTTTTTTTTCAGACTTATGAAAGTGTTTGTCCCTGACGCCTGCGTGACTTTTCTGTGTTTAGTTAGTTTGTCATTAGAGCTGGGGCCAGATGGCACATGGCTCTTGACCTTTCCCTGCAGCTGCACATTCAGCTTCTTCCATCAGAGCAGTTTGAAACAGAGCAGTGTGTCACTGTTGTGTGTCACTGTTGTGTTGCTGATGTTGTGCCTCATTGATCTTCATTAAAAATAAGCTGGTGGTCTGATGTGTTACATTTCCAAATTACTGTCGCCGGAAAAATGGCGGCGTGGCAAGAGCTCTGGTGTTTTCTACTGGTGCACACTGGGAAAGTCTTGCACAGGTTTTGTCATGTGGTTTTACTGCACGTGGCTAATCAATTCTCAAATCAATTTTAGAAGAAAAAGATTTGAAAGATGAATAAACACACAGTACATTGTTCTTAAAACAAAGGAGCAGCAGTAACTTCCAACAAAATCCCTTTGGTGCAGAAGTGCTGTTTCTGCTGTTTCTGCAGAGACAGGTTCAAAACACTGAGACACAGTGAGAAAAGTGACTCACGTCCCAAAGAAGTGTTCACAGGTTTTATACACACACACAGAGGGTTTCTACATACACACACAGGCTGTATACATACACACACAGGCTGTATACATACACACACAGGCTTTATACATACACACACAGGCTTTATACACACACACACAGGCTTTATACACACATGCACAGGCGATATACACACACACACAGGATTTATACATACACACACAGGCTTTATACACACACACACAGGCTTTATACATACACGCACAGGCTATATACACACACACACAGGATTTATACATACACACACAGGCTTTATACACACACACACAGGCTTTATACATACACGCACAGGCTATATACACACACACACAGGATTTATACATACACGCACAGGCTATATACACACACACACAGGATTTATACACACACACACAGGCTTTATACATACACAAACAGGCTTTATACACACACACACAGGCTTTATACATACACACAGGCTTTATACACACACACAGGCTTTATACACACACACACACAGGCTGTATACACACATACACAGGCTTTATACATACAGTGCCTTGCAAAAGTATTCGGCCCCCTTGAACCTTTCAACATTTCGCCATATTTCAGGCTTCAAACATAAAATATATAAAAATTAAATGTTTTGTCAAGAATCAACAACAAGTGGGACACAATCATGAAGTGGAACAAAATTTATTGGATAATTTAAACTTTTTTAACAAATAAAAAACTGAAAAGTGGGGAGTGCAATATTATTCGGCCCCCTTGCGCTAATACTTTGTAGCGCCATCTTTTGCTGCAATTACAGCTGCAAGTCGCTTGGGGTATGACTCTATCAGTTTTGCACATCGAGAGACTGGAATCTTGCCCATTCTTCCTTGCAAAACAGCTCGAGCTCAGTGAGGTTGGATGGAGAGCGTTTGTGAACAGCAGTCTTCAACTCTTTCCACAGATTCTCGATTGGATTCAGGTCTGGACTTTGACTTGGCCATTCTAACACCTGGATACGTCTATTTGTGAACCATTCCATTGTAGATTTGGCTTTATGTTTTGGATCATTGTCCTGTTGGAAGATAAATCTCCGTCCCACTCTCAGGTCTTTTGCAGACTCCAACAGGTTTTCTTCCAGAATGGTCCTGTATTTGGCTCCATCCATCTTCCCATCAATTTTAGCCATCTTCCCTGTCCCTGCTGAAGAAAAGCAGGCCCAAACCATGATGCTGCCACCACCATGTTTGACAGTGGGGATGGTGTGTTCAGGGTGATGAGCTGTGTTGCTTTTACGCCAAACATATCGTTTTGCATTGTGGCCAAAAAGTTCGATTTTCGTTTCATCTGACCAGAGCACCTTCCTTCCACATGTTTGGTGTGTCTCCCAGGTGGCTTGTGGCAAACTTTAAACGAGACTTTTTATGGATATCTTTGAGAAATGGCTTTCTTCTTGCCACTCTTCCATAAAGGCCAGATTTGTGCAGTGCACGACTGATTGTTGTCCTATGGACAGACTCTCCCACCTCAGCTGTAGTTTCTGCAGTTCATCCATTTGGAGGGACGGCCGGGTCTTGGTAGATTTGCAGTGGTCTGATACTCCTTCCATTTCAATATAATTGCTTGCACAGTGCTCCTTGAGATCTTTAAAGCTTGGGAAATCTTTTTGTATCCAAATCCGGCTTTAAACTTCTCCACAACAGTATCTCGGACCTGCCTGGTGTGTTCCTTTGTCTTCATGGTTCTCTCTGCGCTTTAAACAGAACCCTGAGACTATCAAAGAGCAGGTGCATTTATACGGAGACTTGATTACACACAGGTGCATTCTATTTATCATCATCAGTCATTTAGGACAACATTGGATCATTCAAAGATCCTCACTGAACTTCTGGAGTGAGTTTGCTGCACTGAAAGTAAAGGGGCCGAATAATATTGCACGCCCCACTTTTCAGTTTTTTATTTGTTAAAAAAATTTAAATTATCCAATAGATTTTGTTCCACTTCACGATTGTGTCCCACTTGTTGTTGATTCATGACAAAAAATTAAAATTTTATATCTTTATGTTTGAAGCCTGAAATGTGGCGAAATATTGAAATGTTGAATACTTTCGCAAGGCACTGTACACACACAGGCTTTATACACACACACAGGCTTTATACACACACACAGGCTTTATACACACACACAGGCTTTATACATACACACACAGGCTTTATACATACACACACAGGCTTTATACACACACACACAGGCTCTATACATACACACACAGGCTTTATACACACATACACAGGCTTTATACATACACACAGGCTGTATACATACACACAGGCTTTATACATGCACACACAGGCTTTATACATACACACACAGGCTGTATACATACACACACAGGCTTTATACATACACACAGGCTTTATACATACACACACACAGGCTTTATACACACACACACACAGGCTTTATACATACATACACACACACATGCTTTATACACACACACAGGCTTTATACACACACACACACACACACACAGGCTTTATACATACATACACACACACAGGCTTTATACATACATACACACACACAGGCTTCAATAACATAGGCCATACACAGGCTTTATCCATACAGTACATACACAGGCTTCACTGGCACTGAGCCCTGTCACTTTGGATTAGACTCTCTCTGAGCAGCTCCAGTCAGCAGGAGAGTCAGGAGGAGAGACCAGCAGGAGAGTCAGAAGGAGAGTCAGGAGGAGAGACCAGCAGGAGAGTCAGAAGGAGAGTCAGGAGGAGAGACCAGCAGGAGAGTCAGAAGGAGAGTCAGGAGGAGAGACCAGCAGGAGAGTCAGGAGGAGAGTCAGGAGGAAAGACCAGCAGGAGAGTCAGGAGGAGAGACCAGCAGGAGAGTCAGGAGGAGAGTCAGGAGGAGAGACCAGCAGGAGTGACCAGCAGGAGAGACCAGCAGGAGAGTCAGGAGGAGAGTCAGGAGGAAAGACCAGCAGGAGTGACCAGCAGGAGAGACCAGCAGGAGAGTCAGGAGGAGAGTCAGGAGGAGAGTCAGGAGGAAAGACCAGCAGGAGAGTCAGAAGGAGAGTCAGGAGGAGAGACCAGCAGGAGAGTCAGAAGGAGAGTCAGGAGGAGAGACCAGCAGGAGTGACCAGCAGGAGAGTCCAGCACCTTTGAACTCTCACTCAGGAGCTGCTTTCAGTCATCTTATTTTCTACGTTTTTGTAACACTAAAACTAATATAATATTCATAATGAGTGCAAACTAAGTAAAGCCAAACGATGAATATAGATATAACTTATTTTTATAGTCAAAATTTCCAAAATGAACATATACATTTAAAACATGAGGCTATTTCCAAAATTGTTATATCCATGTGTAGTTTAAATTGTAGCTTGTATCATAATTATCTATATTTCTCTTTACCAATTTTGTACTTTTTATTTTACCACCTGAATATATTTCCATTCTACAGAGCTTATGAGTTCCCATAAGAAAAAAAGTTGTTGTTTTTTTACTTTAGGGGCTCTGTAGCTTTCCGTGTGCTGCTACTATAAAGCAACTGGAAAGAGAGAAACAATGTATTATCTATGGTTAAGATGATTATATTTAAAGTTTAGTCTTCACAAAGCTCCGTGCTGTGCAGCCAACTAATACTTCACACTTTGTCAGGATCACAAGTTTCTGCTCTTGGCCCAAATTAGCCTCAGCTCCAATAATGAAGTGGACAAAAGCTCATATTCAGCTGCAGCCTGTGTGAGGAGACGTGTGGATAAAGGGTTTCCTGAAGATAAGCAGAACCTTCTGCTTTGATGTGGTAGAAATGTTAAATAATATGCTGCAGACATCACACTTCACTCAGTACAGTACCATTTAGCACAACTGGTCCTCTGCAAAAACAGCGTGAGCTTTTGATTCTTTGATCAGAAGTTTTTCATTATTACAACTGTTTACATCAATAAGACCAACACAAGATACAGATCCTCAAACTGTAGTAGATTAGATTAAACTTTATTGTTCAAGTCATTACAATGCAACTGAATGCAGTTTCTGCTATTGTAAGTTCATACATTATTCTTTGGTCCCAAATGATGATTATGAAATTCCAAATATCAAGAGCTATAGAAGACAGGATGGGGGTTAATTATTATGGTAACTACTACTCCCAAAAGGAACATCTTTAAACATTTGATAAACAAACTGTACATGAATGCAGGAATTTTAGTTCCTACACACAGACAGCTGATCAGCCCCAAACACATATTCAGTCTTTTGGGTTTTTGAATGGAGCATTTTACTTCTGAAAACAATTTCATACCTCACTAATCTCCTTAATACTTAGAACGCTATTAAACTTCTCTCATTATTGATACATGCCCTTTACATCTACAGATATCAGCAAATACCTAAACGTATGCAATGTACATATATATATATATATATATATATATATATATATATATATATATATGTAATGTATATGTATGTATATTGTATATAGATATTCATTGTCTTGATATATAAGCTGAGCTTTTTTATTTTTTAAGGCACCTGTTTTCTTTGTATTGTAAAGAGAAACTTCTGGAAACTCTGAGCTCTGCCTATGTTTGCATCAGTAGTTTTGAGCTTTATTCTTTAAAACTATCAGAGAAATTACCAAAGTAACAGGCTAGGTTTGGAGTCACTTCCCCACATCCGCTTTAAAGGCTTTTATTTTGAAGAACCCGCGGATGTGGAGGTGCGTTTCGTGCTTGTGCTTGACACAGAGACAGCGCTGCAAAGCTTTTGACTCCCCCATCCGTGAGAGCATAGAGCGTGAGAGTGAGGGGTCCAGCCCGGGAGCCCCCAGACAACATGGCGGACAGCGTGATGTGTTTCTGGCCCCACAATGGAGCCCAAACAGCCTCCAGCCCTGCGCCCCCAGAGCCCGATCCAACACCACAGAAGCCAGGGAAGAGGAGAACCTTCTGCCTGTCCAGGATGAAGTCTCGCGGTGGCAGCAGCGACCCCCCGCAGCCACCCACCATCAACAACAACACGCCGTTCATGATCCACTGCCAGATCGGGAAAGAAATCAAACACATCTGTAGGAAGTGCCGAGGAGCCGAGCTGGAGGGTGAGCGTCACTTTCGCTTCTTTACGCGCGTCCAAGCTTTGTCCGCCCTCAGTTCAGTGGCCGCTCCCTGGACCGGGTCCAGACCGGGTCCAGACCTGGTCCAGTATCATGGAAGCTGCTGTCCCATACCGTGGCACTTTCTACTCTTGAGCTTTGTAACCTTTTGGACATCTTACTATACTCCCAATCAAAAGTGTTCAAAGTCAAAATCAACACTGGGTTATGTTGGGTTATAGTGGACCACGCCATGAGCCAGATCAATACAAATGCACTGGGGGCAATCAACCGCCATTTATACAGACGATGACGTGGTAGGCAGGGCGCGTTTATTTGTATAGCACAAGGCAACTCATAGTGCTGAACAAAAAATAATAATTCATCACAGTGCATTTAAAAAGTAAGCTAAAAATAAAATATCCCTCAGTTGTATGCACAGCTAAACAGAACTGTTTTTATTAACCTGGATTTAAACTTTGTTAGAAAAGAAGCCTGTCTTACATTTTTAGGAAGATTGTTCTAGATTTTAGCTGCATGAAACTGAAATGCATCCTCCCCTTGTTTAGACTCTAGTACCAGCAGGAGGCCAGTCCCTGTGCTCCTCAGAGTCCTCTATGGTTCATATGGGACTAACATGTCACTGGTGTACTTTTCTCTGAGCCACAGGAAGCAGAGACCTGAGGACTACACTAATGTGATCATACTTCCTGGTACACACAAACCTGAAAACCTCTTCAAATTCCCAAAATGCTCTAGTTATTAGTTACATTTGAATGCACTAAATTATAGATAGACGTATTAAGTTTTCTGCTGCATGTATCCATTATATTCCATGGATATTCCATAGATGGTTTTTAATTTTGTAACATGCAGAAGACCAGAAGTTGACAACTATTACTATTTGAACTCTCAGGATGATTTTTATTATTATAATTCATTGCACACACTGTGGATGAGTGATCACACTGTTGCTTCACATTTCCCAATGATATGACATTACTAGCTTCATATGCAGAAGATCTACAGTTGGGGGCCCTCTCAGAGCCAATAAGATCAATACTCATACTATTCATTGTAGAGCATTAGGAGCAGCCAAGAAAAAATCATTAATGAAAGTTGGATCTTGCATTGAGCTCATCTCTTTTGTTAAATGTATTTATTTGACAGAGACAATGTAGTTGTAGATACTTACAGCCTGAAAGATGCAACTGATGTGACACATCTAATACTAATGCTAATTTACAATTCCCAGTTGGACCTGCATGAGTTAATTCTCCACATTCAGAAACAATCGAACAAAACAAGGCCCGGGTTTAACTGAAGGAATGTGGCCCTGCAGTCTGACTCACATACAGCTGCTTTTCTCCACTCACCGCTGGAGGTCAGAGCATGAGGGGACGCCTCTATAGACTCAAGCTAACAGTGACTGTGACTGCACTATGTGATATAATAACCCAGAGCTCAGGACCTTTTCACCTCTTGGGCCAAACGGTTTGACTTCTGCAGAGTATTTCACATGTCAATCTCAGGACCAATATTGAGGCTGTAATATTCATGACTAATTCTATCGTAATGTTAATCCACTGCTTTGCTCAGGGCTGGCCTCTCTGGTATTCTCTCACCAGGGTGTTGCTCTGCATATCTGGGCCGGTTCACTCTTGTGGGGGGTGGCTGTGGGCCAGTGGTGTCTTTACAGTTGCTGCTGAGCTGGTAGATTCAAAGTGACATCTTCTTTGTGACTCTAAGGCTAATAACCTCCCCCTTTTCTGCTGGCGACGGTTTGAATATATTATACATGTATACACTAGTAATTATCTTTTTTTAGGCTCCAATATCAGTTAAGAACACATTACACATGCAGCTTATTCAATCTGGATAGACTGGAACAGACAAAACATGAGTATTATTAGAATTCAATCTGAAGAGACCAAAGACACGATAAATACGTTAAAATGATTTATTTGTTTGGCGCATTGACCCCGGCAGTGACACTTGCAGCTATGAGATCGATTGCAGCTGAGATGATCTCAGATCCCCCGGGGTCAAGCACTGGTGGTGGCTAGAGTATGGTGTGAATGGGGCGTAGGCGGAGCAGGAGCCAGAGCGGGAGCCAGAGCGGGAGCCAAGAGCCAGAGGGGGTGCTGGGGAGGTGGTGGGTGTTTAAGAGCCTCAGGAAGCGTTGTTTGTCAGGAAGTGGCTGCCTTTTAAACTGCCCGCTTTGCTCTGAGAGGGTTGGCAGGAGGCTGGCCTGGCTGTGTGATTGGCTGAGGCTCGAGGCTGGCAGAGCTGTGTGATTGGCTGAGGCTCGAGGCTGGCAGGCACTCGGTCTTTCAGTCTGAACATCCGCTTGAGCTTCATTTCAATCTGAAGAGACCAAAGACACGATAAATACGTTAAAATTATTTATTTGTTTGGCGCATTGACCCCGGCAGTGACACTTGCAGCTATGAGATCGATTGCAGCTGAGATGATCTCAGATCCCCCAAAAGAGGAAGCCACGCTATGTGTGCCGGGGAATGCGCAGGCCTCCCGTGGGAAGCTGCCTATCTGGAGGCGTGGGAGCCTTGCATGGAGGCAGCATTGCATGGAGGCAGCATTGCATAGAGGCAGCATTGCATAGAGGCAGCATTGCATAGAGGCAGCATTGCATAGAGGCAGCATTGCATAGAGGCAGCATTGCATAGAGGCAGCATTGCATAGAGGCAGCATTGCATAGAGGCAGCATTGCATAGAGGCAGCATTGCATAGAGGCAGCATTGCATAGAGGCAGCATTGCATAGAGGCAGCATTGCATAGAGGCAGCATTGCATGGAGGCAGCATTGCATGGAGGCAGCATTGCATGGAGGCAGAATTGCATGGAGGCAGAATTGCATGGAGGCAGAATTGCATGGAGGCAGAATTGCATGGAGGCAGAATTGCATGGAGGCAGAATTGCATGGAGGCAGAATTGCATGGAGGCAGAATTGCGTGGAGGCAGAATTGCGTGGAGGCAGAATTGCGTGGAGGCAGAATTGCGTGGAGGCTGCATTGCGTGGAGGCTGCATTGCGTGGAGGCTGCATTGCGTGGAGGCAGCATTGCCTGGAAGCAGAGTTGCATGAATAGGATACAGAGAATATGCGGGGGTGACAAATCCGCACGCTCTGTAATGATTATGCGTGTGTGAAGCGTTGGCCCTTGGAGCGTGCGGAGGGTTTCTCGCGCACAGACCGCTTCGTGAGGGTGCATGTATGACGTAGGCCGCAGGGGATCTGTGGGAACAGACACTCACTGAATGAGCGGCTATGTGATCATGCGTGCGTGATGGATGCATGAAGTGAAGAGTAAATGCGTGTAATCGCAGAGCTGATGCGGGCTCTGCGTGTTGAGAATGTGGAGCAGCAATGTAGAGAGCTTTCTCATACAAGATCTGCTATATTTGAGCATGCGTGTGTCAGCGTATGATGCAGAGAATATGCGGGGGTGACGAGTCCGCACGCTCTGTAATGACTATGCGTGTAGAAGCGTGGGCCCTTGGGGCGTGCGGAGCTGCCTCTCGCGCACGGGCCGCTTCGTGAGGTGCGTGTATAGCGTGAGCCGTAGGGGGTTATGCAGAGAAGCTTCTCTGCACAGAGCGCTACGGTGAGCATGAATGTATGATGTAAGACAAGGTGATCATATGCATGTCCGGATTGAAGTGCAACAGATGTTGAGAATGCTTATGTGAGAGAAGAGTAGATGCGTGTAATCGCAGAGCTGATGCGGGCTCTGCGTGTTGAGAATGTGGAGCAGCAATGTAGAGAGCTTTCTCATACAAGATCTGCTATATTTGAGCATGCGTGTGTCAGTGTATGATACAGAGAATATGCGGGGGTGACGAGTCCGCACGCTCTGTAATGACTATGCGTGTAGAAGCGTGGGCCCTTGGGGCGTGCGGAGCTGCCTCTCACGCACGGGCCGCTTCGTGAGGTGCGTGTATAGTGTGAGCCGTAGGGGGTTATGCAGAGAAGCTTCTCTGCACAGAGCGCTGCGGTGAGCATGAATGTATGATGTAAGTCAAGGTGATCATATGCATGTCCGGATTGAAGTGCAACAGATGTTGAGAATGCTTATGTGAGAGAAGAGCCTTAGCCACCACCAGAGTATTTGATAATTACCTCAGATTGAAGAGGGAGCGCTGAGCAGTCAGAATAGTGTCAGTGTTTAGTCTGATAGAGGATGAGGCAGGACCAAGCCGTGGACCATTGACCCATTTGCTGTAGGGAAGAGTGAGGAAGGCCCAGCAGGCTGGAGTGCGGCGGCTATTCTAATCCAGCGGCCGGTATTGGAGAATCGGGAGATCACAGGAGACCGGCCGGATTTATTAATGGGCTTGGATGCATTGCGCAAACATGACGTCATTTGACAGAGAGAGAAATGGCAGCCCATCTGAATCTCCTCTCCATGCATGGAGGAGTGCCTTTCATCAGGTGTTTATCTGGACAGGGGAAAAATAATGCATAACGAAAGTGTGACGGCACCTTCCTTTTGGAGTGTTGAATGCAGGGATTATAGTGATAGGGGTAATAAGTCCTTGGGGCCAGGGTGCAGCTAACCACTGGCCTAGATATGACCCCCAAAAAACCCACGGACTGAGCCGCGTCCGTGGAAGAGAAATAAGTAAGTGGAAGAGGCGGCGCCATCATGAAAGACGCCGTTCCGGCAGGCAGCAGCTGAAGCTGAGGTCAGCGCAGCACCTGCGAACAGGAAAACAGGGTTGCAGAGCGCGCAGGAGCCTGGGGACGAACCACGGCCTGAGGAATGACGTGCACTGCGAGGATGAGGCGGCCCAGCCGGAAGAGCAGCAGAGGACAGGACGGACCAAGAGACCCTGGTCCTCCCCCTCCTATCCTCTCTCTCTCCATGTCCAAGCCGAGGGAGCATTTACGAAACCTTCGATGAGGGTAATCACGTGTGCCGGGTGGCCAGTGTGACGGCCAGACGCCTGCCCGGCTTGAGATGGACGAGCCCCGCGTAGGAAGGGCATGCCCCGCGCGGGAATGACAGGGCCTATCGCTACGAGAATAATTCGCGAGGCGCGGCCGTGCAGCAAGAGCGCCCTGCAACATAAGGGAGAGATTAAACAAGAACCGACCGAAACTCCTTCTGGACAGGAGAGAGCTATCTTGATGCAATTAGGAAACTCAGAACGACGGCAAAGAGCGGCCACAGAGCAGAATAAGTACGAACAGAGCGGCACCTGAGAACGAGCAGTAGAGCGAGCAACCGTTACGATGACTCAGAGGAGTCATCGTAACGGTGGATGCTGCCCCCCGACTCCGCGGAGAATCGGAGAGAGATCGCCCGTATGAGGCGCAGGGCGGATCAATTGCACGCGGTAGCAGTGAGGGAAGGCCAGAGCACGTGGAGGATCCGGAGCAAACCGGCCGGACGAGGGGAGAACATGCAAAACTCCGCACGGAGGTGGAACAAAGCATAAAACCACTTTTGATAATCGACACCAGCCTGCTCAGGATAAAATGAAACACACTGCTAATGACCAGGGGCAACGCGTCCCTATGAGCAATATTTACTGTACGCGGAGGGGGCTCGAGGATTTCAGTACGAGGGCCACTTCAGTCCGCCAGACTAGTCCCGGGGCCGACACGTAGGCGAAACCGCATTGGACTGGTCCGAACATTAGGACGAACTATGAAAGAGCTGAAGTTGGTTGAATGACGACCTCCTGTCGTCTCGCTAGCTACAGATTAGCGGAGATTCGAGCCCGACCGAGAACAACAACATCTCAGAACGGGTTACGACACGTCTATATTGGCTGCGCTGAAGTAGAATGGACGACACCGAATAATTATTTACGAACCCAGATTCCCTTGGCCTCAGTTGGAACAGGTTGTCTTTTAACGGAATAGCCCGACGACCAGCGAAGGTAACACACATCATTCATTGCAAAGCATCTAATCGTAATTACGATTAAACTACGGAAAGTTTGACGAGAGCAGAGACAGCCCTGATGAGAACTGAGCGAAGCGAGCTTAAGACTATAAACACATATGCATATACTTATACATAATATATATGCACGCACGTATACTACGTACCTACGTGTGCATGCGCATATACAAGTAGAGTCCCTCCGTGGCCTCGCACCAACAATAGTAGTGACATGTTAGTCCCATGTGAACCAGCCCGGACTCTGAGGAGCACAGGGACTGGACTCCTGTTAGTGTCCAGAGTCAGAACTAACGTGGGTAGGCTGCCTTTCGGATTCGCACTGCTAAAATCTGGAACAATCTTCCTGAAGATGCGAGACAGGCCTCCTCTCTGACAATGTTTAAGACAAGGTCAAAACGTACATGTCCATCCTTCTTCTTAATGTTCTGTGAATATCTATGATTTTAATGCTTTCTTATTTTGTTCAGCACTTTGAATTGCCTTGTGTATGAATTGTGCTACACAAATAAACTTGCCATGCTTTGCTATACAACATACATTCACATACGCCATTATGCGCGTGACAGGGCCATGAAGCTAAACGCACTTTCTTCACCTTATGGGAGCGTCCAAATCAGACAGGCGTCAAACTGCAGATTCCTCTTCACCCTGAGCGAGCAATATTACATTAGGCCTTTGTCTAGGGAGCAACCAAATCAGAGAGGCGCCAAAGCTGCAGATTCCTATTCACCCTGGACGTGCAATATGTCGTTAAGCCTCGGAGACCGATACATTAAGCCTTAATACGAACAATTCGGGCCTTAGAAGGAGACTGATTAGGGAAGACTCCGAAATGTAATTTTGCATGCCACCAAGCACGCTGGAGTTTGAACTGTCTCACGGAGGAGACTTGAGCAGCAGTGACACGGAGCCTGTACGTGTTTAAGGAGCGGCGCCAATAAGCACTGACGAGCAGATCAGAGCGGGTCAAAGCAGGAACAGACCTCAAACAAACGATGGCACGGGACAATCACGGGCCCGGGACAAGCACGTACGACGCAACCACAATGCGATTCATACGGGCAAGCAGACCATGTCACGCCAGCGTGCGCCGCTTGTCTCTGTGAGCCAGGTTACATACGTGTCTGTCTGAGAGAGCCGAGCCGTAGGTGCAGCCTGGGAGCCCGCGGAGCGGCAGCGGCAGGAACAGCAGCAGCGGCACGTGTAGTAGTAGGAGCAGCAGGAGCAGGCAGCAGCAGGAGCGGCAGCAGGAGCAGGCAGCAGCAGAGGCAGCAGCGGGAACAGGCATCAGTAGGAGCAGCAGGAGCAGGCAGCAGGAACAGGCTGCAGCAGGAGCGGCAGCAGGAACAGGCAGCAGCAGGAGCGGCAGCGGAACAGGCATTAGTAGGAGCAGCAGGAGCAGGCAGCAGGGACAGGCAGCGGTAGGAGCAGCAGGAGCGGCAGCAGGAACAGGCAGCAGCGGGAACAGGCATCAGTAGGAGCGGCAGGAACGGGGAGCAGGCATCAGTAGGAGCAGCAGGAACAGGCAGCAGCCGCAGCGGGAACAGGCATCAGTAGTAGCAGCGGGAACGGGGAGCAGGCATCAGTAGTAGCAGCAGGAACGGGGAGCAGGCATCAGTAGTAGCAGCAGGAACGGGGAGCAGGCATCAGTAGTAGCAGCAGGAACGGGGAGCAGGCATCAGGGAACAGGCATTAGTAGGAGCAGCAGGGACCGGCAGCAGCGGCGGTCAGAGAACCATGCCCATGGTTGTTTAAGAGCCTCAGGAAGCGTTGTTTGTCAGGAAGTGGCTGCCTTTTAAACTGCCCGCTTTGCTCTGAGAGGGTTGGCAGGAGGCTGGCCTGGCTGTGTGATTGGCTGAGGCTCGAGGCTGGCAGAGCTGTGTGATTGGCTGAGGCTCGAGGCTGGCAGGCACTCGGTCTTTCAGTCCGAACATCCGCTTGAGCTTCATTTGTGTATTGGTTGGCAGTAATCTAACACTACATAAATTACACATATGACTCTGAGGGCATTATTTTCCAGATTAGATTTATTGTTGCTGTACAGAAATGTGGTTAGAATTTGCAGATTGCAGAAGGGGAAAGATATTATAAAATGAAATCCCCCGGGGCCTAGACCCTGGTGGTGGCAGCTAGGAGAAGGATGAAAGAGTAGACCAGGAGCGAGGTGGAGATGGGGAGGAGGAGGGTTGCAGCATGAGTGTGATTGCCTGTTGCTGTAGCAACAGTGATAGGACCATGGATCTATAATAATATCTGGATAGGGTATTACTAGCTTATAGCTGTCTCACTAATGGGCACAAGGGGCGCCCGTGCTACTAAATTCACGTGGGCAACCCAGAAAATTGCCCCATAGAACTCAATGTAAATTAAAACAACTTTTTTTCTATCCATGCTAGATGTGACATCCTCCTTTGTGAGATCAGTAAAGTATATCTTATCTTATCTTAACTTGATCCCAGCTGACAGAGAACCTGACAGAGAGAGAGATTTTGTGGGGGCTTTAGTGTCCCTTGTCATCCTGAACTTTTTCTCATCATGGGAGCACTGCACAGAACCGGGAGGACCAGAAAAATGACCAAATATGGGCGAGTTCCGCTAATCTTCCGATGCCCATGCAAGCTGTTAGAGGACAGTGTACTATAAGTAAACAATGTTAAAAGAAGAACTGGTCACATCAAACCACCACGGCAGAAATGATGGAAGTGAAATTCTCACGTGGATGTGAACCACCTTTACTTTGAAAGTACTCCACAGTATTTTCTCGTGACTTTCTTTTCTGTTGTTGTTACGACCTTGTGTTTCCCGTTTATTGTAATTAAACTCTTCAGTCGTTAATTGTGATAAACCATGACCCAAAGCAGCTTTACTTGACTGGATTATACACCCGCCTCTGGAGAACCTGACATTACTGTTGTTTGTTTTCCAGCTGAGGAAGTGGAGCGGCTCGCAGCGATGCGCTCTGATTCGCTGGTACCAGGGACACACACACCACCCATTCGACGACGGAGCAAATTTGCAAACTTAGGGCGACTTTTTAAACCCTGGAAATGGAGGAAGAAGAAGAGTGAGAAGTTCCAGCAGACCTCTGCAGGTGATAAGCAGAATTATAACCAACATGACAAATCCAATGTTATCTGTATGGATTCATGTTTGTTTCACTACACTGCTGCTCTGTAAAGCACCTGCTGTTTGGTTTGTTTTGTTTTCTGACTGGAATGCTCCGTTATTCCCTGTTACTCCTTTCTCTGGATGGTGATATGGCTCAGTTTCTGTCTCTGATGCCCATAGCAACAGCAGCTGTGATGTAAAGCTGCATAGTGCCACAGAGCAGGATGATGTAAAGCTTCTGCTGACGCAGGATGATGGTCATGGCTGTGCTGGGTGCATACAGAGGATTGTAAAGACATGCACATGTACTGTACCTACCACATTTAGGTGTTGAGATTGAAATAGTTATACAATGAGTGATCATAAAATCACCAGATGATCAAAATGCTAGTCACAACCATAGACTGTATATAGGAATGAACATTATCACACCTATCTCCACCGTTGAAACTAATGTGCCACCACTTATGCCTTCTGTGGGCTTTTTCAAAATGGTCGCGGGGCAAGGAAAATGTGAAAAACGCTTTTGCCCATTCATTTAAAGCTGTACTAACTGACTTTATTTTCGTATTAATTACGAAAATGCTATCCATGTCCATGTAGTGCATTGGGATATACGTCCTTTTGAAGAAAAAGTAGCGCAGATTTGTGCTGGCCTGACATTATATTTTCGATCGAGTTTTGATGAAACAAGGAAGAGAATGTGTTTCGGGTCGCAGATTGTGACCAATCACAGCGCACCACTAGCCCCCACTTTCGTGAGAAATCTCCAGGTCCGTTAGCATAGACGGCTGAGTTAGCACAACAAGCGGCGGAGCTAACCTGAAACTTTCTCGTCTTCGTCACCGGTTACTGCTTACACAGCGAAACAGCCATCCAAAAGAAAGTCTCGTTCCTCCGCGCTTCCCGGTTCTATCGTTCTATGGTCACGCCATCCACGTGAAAATCCATATTCATGTATTATCCATATTGGGAGAGGCTAGCTCCGTCCCAACACTGTGTGTGTGTGGGGGGCGATAGCTTCGTGGGTGCGGGGAGGGGAGCAGAAAGAGCGAGGCCAGCGAGTCCGCGGCTTCAAAATCCCAAAGTCAGTTAGTGCAGCTTTAACAAGTGCATTCAAAAGTCCACAGCGGCTAAACTAGACTGGTCCAAAAAAAAAGATCCACTTTTGGACCATCCTGTAAAGCCGTTTGGCAAGAGGAAAGAAGGCGCCATACAAAAGCATTGGGTAATTCTCTTTCCGGGTACACCCCCACCAGCCCACATGGATCTTTTTGAGCTGGGACCTACCCCCACTGGTTACAACATGTGCAAAATGTCAATGGGGTCAGCCATCACAGTTCATCTATACACAAAATTAATCTCAATCTGTTTTTGTGATATCATAATTTTAGATGAAATACAGATGAAGTGAAATCATAATTACAGATGAAACTGCAGGATTATTATTGCAACAACACATCATCAGTAGGGTAAAATTAACCAGCCTCAGGTCTAATCCGAGCTCACGTTCCCTATTAGTGGCTGCTTCACGATGATAGAACGAGGCGACATCGAAGGATCAAAAAGCGCTGTTGCTATGTCAGTTATCCCTGTGGTAACTTTTCTGTCACAGAGACAATCACAAAAGCCCATCTCCCTAATTTCATAAGCATTCTCCATTATGTCAAACCTTCAACTGATAATCAAGCAAAGCAAATTCATAGAAAAGTATATTAATCATTATTGTTGTTTCGCAGTTTTGGAAAGGAAGATGTCCACTCGCCAAAGCAGAGAGGAGCTGATTAAGAAGGGAGTTCTAAAGGAGGTCCTAGAGAAAGGTAAGGCAAACCACTAATGTCGAGCTCCAAAAACAATCTGCCATTTGATTGTTTTTTCTGTATTGAGCCACAATGCAAATCATGAAACCTGCCTCTAGGGTCACAGTGATAGATTCATTTAGTGAGTTAGTAATGAGTTAAGATATATTGTTTAGGTAAGCATGTTTCTAATGTTTTATGATCATGCTTGAAATAAAATCATTCATTCATTCAATCAATTTATCTGAATGAAGTTGATTCAGATAGATTGTAATCTAAGCTTTTGTGTAAATTAATAGTTAATTTGGCTCAATTAATCATTTTTGTTTATGGAATTTTCATTGATACTTCTGGTCATACATATACTAAACAATAATATGTGATGTATTACATCATTGATTACATGATTAGGGATGCACCGATGCGTCGCCTGAACACCGGTATCGGACTATGGCAAATAAAAATGACATTGGCCGATGTTGGCGTGTGCGAAGAGACACCAATAGAGGGCGTCCACGCACTTTCAATAAAAGAAACAAAGAAGATGGCGGCCATCGTGTGGCGATATTTTACAGTATCAGAAAAACGTGTTCAGTGAGATTTCAAGTTTTAGCTAGAAAATCATTTACCACAAAGAATGTTATAGGACGTTTGAGAAACTAGAGGTGGTGTACAGCGACTTGTATGAAGCCGAAGAAAAATGGAAAACTGAAGGCGCCAAAAAATAAATATATATAAACAACAAACAAAAAAACATTGACCATCGGCCAAGATGTTGAATGTTAAACATCAGTATCGACCCAAAATGTCACAATCGTGTGCGTCCCTAGTTGCGGTGTAAGATTCTTAATCCTCTCTACTTGATGTTATACACGTTTTATATCCTGTACTTTCATATGACTCTTCTTCCCCAGAGGAGACCAAGATGGAGAACGGTCAGTCGGCAGGGGAAGCTTCAGAGGCCACTGAGATGATGGAGGGAGCCACTGCAGCTGTCGGTAAGTGATACTAAGCTTGTACTTAAATATTTATATAAGAAGCTTTAAAAAAAAAAAAAAACATCACACACTCACGTCATTTGAATATTTTAGATTTGCGAATGACTGATTTTAATGAATTGAGTTTTTATAGTTTTGATTCTGACATTCAGACTGAAATGTTTCTTTATTATTATTTTATTTTTTTGTTTTAATATGTTTGTAAATGTATATGATTTTATGTCTGTGTAAAGCAGTTTGGGTTGCTCTGCATGAATTGGGCTTTATTTATTAATAAGCTTGATAGATGGATGGCTATTTCTCCTGATATATTTCTCTCTTCAGCCTCTTTAGAGTTTCCGATGCCGAGTGAAGGTGCAAGTCAAACGGACCAAGCTCAGAAATCTAATCAGGCTCCTCCCACAAAGAAAGCCACTGTGCAGGCAGCGGAAAGCAATGAATCGCCAGTGTCCAGAGCTCCAGGGACCCACAAACAGCCCCCCGCACTGCCACCCAAACCCTTCACCAGGTTACCAAACCATATCACAGGTATGTTTGCTCACTGAAGAAACACGTCAACATCACTGACTTTGGCACATACAGGAAGGTTGCGTTTGCCATTAAATGTTGAATAAATCATCTGTGCAATAATATCTTTAAAGGAGCAATATGTAAAAATCTGGCCAATAGTGGCGTTGCACTCTCCCTGATTCAGGTTGCCAGATATGCAGACGAATCCGCAGCTGGGACCGTAACAGCTGAATAGTCAAGAGTTTTGTCAACAACAAATCTATAACCAACACCTTTTTCACAAAGTTAGAAATCCTGGTTTTGTTCCTTGTTTTGTCGTTAATGATTAGCTCAACGCAGTGAGGTCTGGCAACATGGATCACGGACTTTCTGATTGGTAAAACGGTGGAGGGCGGGACATCAAAATGAAAACAATATCAATATTCAATTTTGAAATTCCAGTATCTCTGAACTTCTGTTATCAGTTAAAGAAGTATTCAAAAAGATAATTTTTTAATGTCTTTTGACAGATTATGGCCCTTTAATGATGACTTGACATGGAGATCTTACATTTTGCTATTTTAATAATGTCACAATGTGCAATATAGAACCATTTGTGTCACTGCTGCTCAGTCACTGTGTCCCAGAGCCTCATGCTGCTAACATGTACAGATGTAAACATACTGCTGTATATATTACTTGCACTAGAATACACAGTACTTTCTTCTTATTACGCCATGTAGAGATGTTATACTTCTTAATTATGATAAAGTCAGAGTTTTTTGTACTCATTATGATAAAAATGGAGATTTTATACTTGTTTCTTTTGATGCTAGAGTTAGAGATTTGTATTATATTTCATGTAGTATAAAGTAATTGTGCTGTGTGCTCCTCATTCCTACTGTTCTGTAACCTTTGATGCAACACTGAAATGTCCCCACTGTGGGACGAACAAAGCACCTCTTCATCTCAAATGTACTGGATGTTGCTGTTCATTTAGATTGGACTCCTGTGAAGTTGCCATGTATGTCGGGGAAGCTATCTCCACCTCTACCTCCAAAGAAGCTTCTGATCTCTGTACCAACAGGGAGCATGGAGCCCTCGTCCATCACGTTCCAAAAGTGTTCCGGCCCCCCCAGCCACGGCCACTCTCTGCAGTATGGGACGCTGCCCAATCACCCCCCCAGTAGAATCATCGAGGAGCTCAACAAGACTCTGGCCCTCACCATGCAGCGGTTTGAGAGGTGAGATTTTGTACAGGTGAAATTATATTATCGTCCAATTTACAAAAAGGTACTGTATTTTCCGGAATATATGTGATATAGACTAATCACACAAAGGTGAGCTATATCAAGCCTTTGTTATGATATAATTATGGCTCACAGCTTATAAAAACTCCAAATGATATTAAATAATCAAAAAGAACATTTGAATATTTTGAAAATGGACAGTAAGCCGTAATCATCAAAATTAACGAAGAGTTTTGAAATGTTTGTCCTATTTAGACTGGGTTTCATTTCCTCCTGTTCTTTAAAGCTGGTTTTGTCTGAATTCTGATGATGTGAATGTGAAAGTGTAAAGCCATAGTTTTTAGTTTTTTGTAATTGTATATTTTTATCTCAAGTGTCAGATTTTGCTCACTCACATTGGCTGATGTTTCTGTGATGGTATTTTTTTTTTTATCTTTCTAGATTTACTTAACAAATGTGTCTCGTCTGCATTACACATACTTTCCATCTACTTACTAAAAATACAGTACAATACTTATTTGACACCGTGTGATTTGTTCAACAGTACTGTTTTTATTTTCTAGCTACAGATCAGACCTCATATTTCAGCCCCAAAATCACTGAAATGTTATGATGCTTCTGCAGCTCCATGATTCATGGTGTTCCCACGGTGATGATCAAGTGCGACGACAACAAAGAGAATCTCCCTCTTGAAGCGGAGTACGAGGATTCACACGACCTGTATAAGGACGAGGACGAGGAGGAGGAGGAAGATGATGATGATGATGATGATGATGATGATGAAGAGGAGGAGGATGACGAGGAAGACGACGATGAATGTTTGTTTACAAGTGAGTTACTCGTGCTGTCTTTGGTTATTTGTTATATTAGGCTCTTTAGCCCTTTATTCCACACCGGTTCTTCCAGAACGTCAAGTTTCATGCACTGAGAAGTCTTTGCATTTTGGCACCAGTGAAGAACAATGCTCACCATAAAAAAAAGTTACTGCAGCAACCAATCAGAGAGCAGAATTATTAACTCTCTCCAGGCAGGCGTTGCAGATTTGCAACAACTTAATTTCTTATAACTGCTTCACATTCATATTTTTGACCCTTTTTTACGTAGTTGAGACTTAGAAACACACAGTTGTCCACCTGCTCACCAGGGGGCGCAGCTGTCTCGCTTCCAAAATGTCAGTCTCTTTGGTTTCACTGAATTTGAATTTCTAGACCTCAATTTCAAGTCAGTATCATGACCAACCTATAATAATTTGAAACCAAAGCTGCATCAAATTAAAAATGTATGTATATACTGTAGATAAAGAACATGTCAATTAGTAGATTATATCTCCTCTGGGTTTTTGCGGGTTAGCTCTGTTTACCACAGCAGACCAATGTTGCAAATCTGCAACATCCCACAATCTGGGCTTGTGAAGGTCTCTCTCTCAAAAAAGTAAGGATTGTATATTACTACTTGTATGATAATTTTCCCCAAATATCAGAATTTTCTTGTCATTCAAATTGAATTGGGCCACAGAGGGTTAACACAGTCAGGAAGAAGAAGAAAATGCACAACTTTAACCAAAATCCAAACTAGGTCTGGACTGGGGCAAACTGAAAACGACTGTGACTGGACTACAGCAGAGTGTGGAGGAGGATTGGTTTGATCAGAATATTAAATAAGTGTTTGCGTTTCTCTTGTCTGGAACAGAGCGGAAATGTGCGTGAGCGTGCAGCCAAGGGGGGGGCTTTATGTCTAGTTTCAAATGTACAGGTTTTCACTACAACTTACATTGTGGTATTTTTGTTGTTGCTGCCAGTTAGATTTATCACCTTTAAAAACACAGCAGTGCGGCACATGAGGGTTTTTATAAACATGTGCGAGTAAAAGCAAAGGAATGAAACCGAAAGAGGAAAAAGTAATGGACAGGAGTTTGTCTTTTTCTCATAATTAAAAAGTGAGATGTGTTTGTGTAGTCACGGAGCAGAGAAAGCACACAATAAGCCTTCACCTGTGGTATCTTATTTAAACAATTCTGACACTTGGAGTGTTGCTGCATGTACTTTGTCCCACAGCGGAGAAATATCATCTTTATACTGTGTTCACTTCAGTATCAAGTTTGTGGACGTTTTGAGTCACGTTTTAGTTTTCATCCTGCAAACCTGGGACCAAACAGTGGCTCAGTTGGTAAAGCATTGGCCTTTGAGCCAGAAGGCTGTGGGGCGGCTGCGGCTCTAAAGTGCCAAACTGCCGTTGTGTCCTTAGGCAAGACACTTCACCCCCATTGCCTAGAATGAGTCTGGTGTGTGTGTGAATGGTTGGTGATGGTGGGTGGGGCCGATGGCACCGACTGGTTGCCTCGCTTCTGTCAGTGTGCCCCAGGGCAGCTGTGGCTACAGTAGTAGTTTATCACCAACATGTTTAGAGTGAATGAATAATGACATGTGAAGCGTCTTTGAGTGTATTATTATTATTATATTATGTTTGGAGTCGTGTCGGCTTAATGCCACAGGGAAGACAGGAGCATGTTACAATTAAGAATCAAAACAAACTTCAATATTAAGTATTTCGCAACACTTTCTGACTTTTTACAAGGATAACTTTACAAATAAATGATTAGTGCGTGGAAATACCCAAACTTTGACAGTATTACACGTGTTGTCCCTCGTGTGACTCGTCGGTTAATGACCTGATTCAGATTCATTTATTTGCCATTTGCCGTAAAACCACATTGGAATACATCCGCAAAAGTACCCAGAGTGCACAAGACAAGTACATCAATAAATAAAACAAGGTTAGAAAAACATAAAACAGGAAACAAGTGACTGACTGTTTTGTTTCATTTATAATATTACAGTAATACATTTTATTTAGAAGTGCCTTTCCAAGCACCCAAAGACACTGTACAAACATGGTTAAAAACAGGGTGCATTTGTTGTCTATATGCATCTATACTGTATGTCCACACACTGAGCACGAGTTGAAACCAGCCCAGTCTGAAAGGAACAAGCGCCCTGTGAGTTTTGGGTGTGAAAATGCCTTTAGTTTAACGCTGATGACTTTGCATAATTGTAATGCATTGGGATGTGAACAACTTGAAGGGTTTAGTAATGACATAGGGCATTCAATAAATCAAATGTCCATTTCAATTAGCTGTAGAGGAACTTTTCTGGAAAAAAGGACTGAAAAATGTATATCTATGGACATTTATCAGTACAACTCCCTATGGACCAAAACCTCTGTGTTAGTTTCTTTGTTTTTGGATTGCTTGATTCTCTGATCTGTGTTTTTGAGAAGTCCTCTGGAGATAATACTGTTGTGATTTAGGGCGATACAAAAATGGATTGAATTGACTTGAATATGAAGCGATCTCCCACACATCTGCAGATCGATGAAGCTGAGCCGTGTCTTTTCCCCTCGTCCATTCAGGCGCGTTGGCCATGAAGGTGCTGCAGAGGGATTCTTTGGCCATTAAGCTGAGCAATCGTCCTTCAAAGAGAGAGCTGGAGGAGAAGAACATCCTGCCCATGCAATCAGATCAGGAGCGGCTAGAATTCCGTCAGCAGACCGCCACTAAACTCACCAGGTTAGCAGCTAATGCCGTTTACGACACAGCCAGCAGTTTTCTACCATGAAGGAACGTATCAGCCAAGCACCTTTTCCAATTAGCGCTGTCAAAATGTGAGCCAGCTGCGGAGGGAAGGATGTGATTTATGAACAGGGCCAGGAGAGCAAGGCTCAGATGAATGAGATCCAAGGAAAAAGGTCAAAAGGAAGGCATTGAATACAGTTACCGGGTTTGAACGTATACATTTATCAAGGCGTGGTTTTAAATGGTGCTCCTATGGATTTACGCAAAGGATAAATTACACTAAATAAATTTAAAAAATCTAAATGTGTCTTGTTGGAAAAATAATCCAGGTATAACAAGCCGTTTAAATCTAACCCGATCAGGTATTTTTCATTGCTTGGATTAAACATTGTTAAAATAGATTTGGTTTAACGATAATGATAATAATAATATCTCAGCGCACGATATCATCTGCCAGAGGGAAGAAGCTGGAACATGGCTTTTCCAGGAGCCAGAGGAGACATTGATTATTCTAAGAGCCAGGTTTAAGAGTCTGGATTCATAAAGAACCTCCAGAACAGACAGATAACACCTCACAATCTCTCTGGTTTCTCTCTGGTCTCTCTCTAGTCTCTATCTCTAGCCTCTCTCTGGTCTCTCTCTGGTCTCTCTCTGGTCTCTATCTCTAGCCTCTCTCTGGTCTCTATCTCTAGCCTCTCTCTGGTCTCTCTCTGGTCTCTATCTCTAGCCTCTCTCTAGCCTCTCTCTAGCCTCTCTCTAGCCTCTCTCTGATCTCTCTCTGGTCTCTCTCTGGTCTCTCTCTGGTCTCTCTCTGGTCTCTCTCTGGTCTCTCTCTGGTCTCTATCTCTAGCCTCTCTCTGGTCTCTCTCTGGTCTCTCTCTGGTCTCTCTCTGGTCTCTCTCTGGTCTCTCTCTGGTCTCTCTCTGGTCTCTCTCTGGTCTCTCTCTGGTCTCTCTCTGGTCTCTCTCTGGTCTCTTTCTGGTCTCTTTCTGGTCTCTCTTTGGTCCCTCTCTGGTCTCTTTCTATTTTCTCTATGGCCTCTCTCTTGTTTCTCTCTGGTCTCTTTCTCTGGCCTTTCGTCTCTCTCTTGTTTCTCGATTTGTCTCTGGTCTCTATTTCTGATCTCTCTCTGGTTTCTCTCTTTGGTCTCTCTCTTTCTGGTCTCCTTTGTCTGTGATTTCACCAAACCACTGTCATAGAACAAACAAGCAAACTATCAATGCCGCAGCAATAAAAGTTAAGCAGGATCTTAGTTTCTGGTAAAGTTTCCACAGAAAGTAGAGACGCTGACGAGCTTTCTTAACGACCTGGTTGGTGTTTTTGCAATGTTATTCAGACACTGTAAAAAACACGCAGACTTAGATAAATGGACTCCTCATCTTGTCTCGACTCCAAAATCTTTACTTGTTCCCGTAGGCGTTTAAGTCAGCGGCCGACGGCTGAGGAGCTTGAACAAAGAAATATCCTAAAACGTAAGTGATGGGCCACGTGCAACAAGGAAGTCCAGATACTTTTGAGCTTTATAACATGTCATTGTTTCAGCTCGAAATGGTTTGGAGGAACTAGAAGAAAAGAAGGAGATCAAAAGACATTTATCTCGAAAGGTGAGACTTGTTTGGGTGAAGTAATTGGTTAATGTGAAAATGGTTTAATACTCCCGCTCCCATCTCTGTGTGGACTTTGTGACTCTGGTCTGTGAAAGGCGGTATATACATAAAGATTACTTACTTTCTGACTGACTTTTTCCTTGAGGCAATGGGTCTTCATAATGAATGGTCACTTTTCTGCTATTCGAAGTAGTGCCTGCAGTTCTACAACCGTCATGTCCCACAACTGCTACATTCTGGAAACGCCAAAAGATTCATCCCCAATATCACTTTTTGTTATCAAGATATGCTTATTTTGTTTTATTTTTTTTTTATTTTTACAGATGCAACACTAAATACAACTTAGTTACATCTGTTAATCATTCTGGGCAAATTCCACAGTCACAAATCAAAAAAATGTTAAAGACCTTATGACGGGTTTTAAAAAAATAAATAGTGGATATCAAAATTGCATGACAATGTCAATTTGAAAGAGATTCCGGCAAAAAAAATCCTATATTTTATAAAAAAGAACGTGTTTTTCATGAATTTAAGTTGTCTATGCTCTAACCTGTGTGTGACGTCATAGCGGGTTACGCCCATGCATTGAAAACCATGGATCTATGCCACAGGACTGCCTTTTCTCTCTTCTCTCCACTGATGCCCAACACAATACTGCACTCTACAGGTGACAATTGCTCACTACACATAAATTGTCGTTTTGAGTGTGAAGAAGAGTCCAAGGTGGGATTTGAACCCCAGTCTCTGGATTGGCAGTCCATCGACACAACCACTGGACTATCTCAGTGACAAGTATTAATATCTAGTAGTTATGTCACACTCGCTGTATACGGCCTTGTCATCTTGAATATCCGCGAAAAAAGAACGAATACCAAATTGTAAACAACTTACAGCGTTGAAACGTACCCGTTCTGACGTCACCAAGGGCTGTGAAGTTTTTTCGTTTCTAAGGGCGTTGCTATGGGGTTATTTCGATTTGGGGGGATCAGACAAAAAAAAACAACTGATTTTGAAACCTTTAGTAGTTCTCTTCTAATATAAAATGGTATTAAAACTGTATTTCTAAATAAATCAAACCCGTCATAAGGTCTTTAAATAGAAAATCTCTCCTCAGCAAAAAAAAAATCAATCTCAATAAGCAATGTATAGCCCTTCAAATCACCCAAAAGAAATAAAAAAACATTGCACTTTTTGAAACATTCTCCATTTAAATGCACCAGTTTTATTTTTTGATTTTGATTTTTGTATTATAACAACCCTGCCCCCCACCCACACTGGTTTCATGTTAACCTTCCTGTGGCACTATGGTCTATTTAAGTGTTTTTGTATTCCGAAAGATCCGTACCAGAGAAGACAACCTTCAATTATACAGTACCTACTTTCCCCACAAGAGGGCAGAATATTCTACATCACAGGCTGAAGGGCTGGTGGCTGTCATACAAAGGATCAGTCAATATTTATTCAAGGGCCATCAGTAATGAAGTCTTTCTATTGACAATAAAACTCGATAATCTTTTTTATCCTGTTCCTCTTTCAGCTCAGCCAAAGGCCCACGGTCGAGGAGCTGAGGGAAGCCAAGATCTTGATTCGCTTCAGTGATTACGTGGAGGTCGCTGAGGCTCAAGATTATGATAGGAGGGCCGACAAACCATGGACTCGACTAACGGCTGCAGACAAGGTTCAACGAGTCCTATTATTAAAGCCTCTTCTCCTAAAACATTTCTGAACTTACACCAACGGATATACTTTTTTATTTCCCCCAGGCTGCCATCAGGAAGGAGCTGAATGAATTTAAAAGCACAGAGATGGAAGTGCATGAGTCAAGTCGCCATTTTACTCGGTAGGTTTCTCTAAGCCGGGGGGGGGGGTCAGACTCATTTTGGTTTAGAAGCATAAGAGCTGGGGCCAAAAGTATAAAGGTGGTTTACTTTTATTGTCGCTATCATTTACACATATTTGTATTTGGACACATTGATTTGATTTCAGTTTGGATATTATTTTATAGTACATTTTTTTTCTTTTTTGCCAAATAACCAGGAAAAGAGGAAATTGAAGATTCACATTTAAATATAAACAACAATTTTTTGGCCTAACTTAACATTTTAGAGCAGATTCGATTATATGGTTGTGTTCCTGATAAATTAGGCTTTGAAATGGAGTAAAACAGAGTATATGCTGCAAGTTACTATAATAATGATAATGTGTGGGCCACTAAAAATGGTCTCGCAGGCCGGATTTGGCACTCGGGCCTGAGTTTGACTTGCACATATGAATGTATTTAAGTGTGTTTTGTTGTTTTTAGGTTTCATCGGCCTTAAACTCCTGGGCCTCATTAGTGCATCAGTCCGACCACACAAGCCTCCGTCATCGCCCTGTGGTGTCAAGGGCTTTTCCTCTGGCTCCGGTGTCAGACTGAACGACAGAAGTGGAAATGTAGAAGGAAAAGAGACTATTGAGGCTGAACTGAATGAAACGGGATGCTGTCTCCTGACTGGAGATTTAACTTCTTGATATTCAAAAGTTTAACTCTCATTTTTATAATGAAATGATGGAGAGATAACTCAGCAGCACTTTTTAATTTTGAACCAGGCTGAAATGTTTGGGCTGGAACACAGAATCTGTGCCACTAGTGGTTAGTAAATGTTTGGGAGAATGGATAGAAGTTCTTTAATCACAGGGATTGTTTTTACCTTTTTTATCATGTTCTCGTTTCTCATGTCTACCTGTGAAGGAGGTGGCTGGTTTACGTTTTGAGGGTAATGGCTCCTTAAATATAAAAGGCAGCTGAATACAACCAAAATCTTCTCAATTTAAAATGTCACCTGCAGATCCAGTAACTGCAGGCGATAAAAAAGGCTGTCATCACAAAACCAACCAAGCAATAATGTCTTAGGTTTGTTCAGGTTTGGTTTTCATAGAAAGAATCTGATATGAGAAACTCTTTTCAAACCAAAGCAACAAAACTTGCCACTGAAGTTGCATTTTGTGTTTGGAGTTGACTAGCGTCCTGTCACTGTGCCTCCGGTGTGCTTTACAGGGACTATTGCCAAATTAATATTTTCTTTTTACTGATATTTTCACAGTAAATGTTTCTTATCTCTGAATTAATGCCTTTTAAAGCCTGTTACGACTTCTGAGAACCTGCCATCGGATGTTTTCTTTGTTTACAGTATTCTCAAAAGTACATGGTGTTTAGGACGTGTTCTGGAAGAACAAGTTGTATGTGTTTGTGTGTGTGTATGATTGTGTAAAAATGACTCCTCAGAACTGAGTATGTAAATAACAGAAAGTAAGCCAGACTTTTCAAATGTTTTTGTAAAGCAGATCAACTGCATGTGAGTATTAAGTTATTGTGAGTCTTCTATGATGTATGCACTTTCTTAAGAAAGAAACTAATTTTAAAAGTTGAACAGTGTCTCGTCCATTTTATCTAACCAATATTGAATAGATAAACCCTATCTAAAAGGAAAATCTGAAAGAAATATACTTTCAAGTTGGTTTCAGTTTTGTGTATTATTCACAAGCATACAAACAATGGTTAGACATGTCCAAAACACCAAACATCTCGAGCAAACATGAGGACGTAGCTCCTGGCTGTGTCTAAGTGTTGTGCATTGGTGTGCCACAGTACTTGTGCCACAGGTCAATGGCTTTGGCCACAATCGCATCAGTGTTCTCCTGTGGAATCTGAAAGACAACAACATGATAATGATAACCAAAACTCTTCAAAAGGAAAATAAACTTGTGTGCGTAGGTTCTCCTAAAGTCAACTCGCGGCACATAACACAACATTTGTACTGCCTGAACTATACAAGATAAGAGAATTTATTTTCCATTTGCAGTAAAACTCCATTGGAAAAAGAGTGCATAGAAGATTACGAATCTCTAAACGAAGAGATTGTAAAAGATGAGCTGGAAGAAGTGGGCACAGAAATGGGAGTCTGCGGCCACCGCCTCATTTCTCATTTTATTAACCAAGCAACTGCGCGGCATCATGCAATGGATACATTTACAGTAAAGTAAACAAGTATAGATTGTAGGATTCAAATAATTGATCACTGCAACCTGCTTTATACCAAATGTTGTCCTTTAGAGGGAGTAGAGAAGGACAATATACAGATTTATAGTTATGTATAGTTATTTAGCTTTATATTCTCTCCAAACTGCTCAGAACCCTGAAAGTGATGTGAGGAATAAGCTGGGATTGCTGCAAATGACAAATTCATTTCAAAATAGTACCAGTTGTGTTCACATCCAGACTTCATACATTCTTACTGGCTTTACATTGGGTTTTATTTGCATTTTGAAATAGTCATGTACTTACATTGCTCAAGAACTTGACCACTCCTTCCGGTCGGTTCAGACTCATTAACACAATTTTGTTGCTCAAAAGTATCTCTAAAGCTACAAATACAAGTATTTTACAGGAGCCACTTATCACCTTGTCCCACACCCTGAAAGACAAGGAAAATGCATCAGCCCAAACATGTAGTAATCAGATATCAGAGAGTTAGAGAAAACAAATCTGACCTTTGGAGACTAGACTCAGGAAGGCATCCAGCAAAACAGCACCGGAACCACAGATTATAAGGCAGCTGTGCTATTGCTCCAGTTTGCTTGAAATGGTTGAGAAGCCGAGGCTCTTCTTGACTCAAATAATGTTCAAGGCTTTTTGGCTATGAAAGACATTTGTTTTTTAATATTTGCTGTTTGTGAAGGATTTTAAAGTAGCAATTTGAAAGATTTTCGTGTCATCCATTTCAAATCATGCTCTTTTCCAATACTTCTTTAAATGATAACAGTAGTTTAGCCGCCATAATCGTTTTCCAGTCCCTAAATCTTGTTATTGTTTTCATTTTGATGTCCCGCCATCCACAGTTTCACCAATCAGAAAGTCTGTGATCCGGGCGCCAGAACTCACTGCGTGGAGCTAATCTCACTGGTAAAGTACCATGTGGCGCAGAACTAAAAGAGGTCTTGTAATGATTCTCAAATCATTAACGACAAAACAAGGAATAAAACCAGGATTTCTATCTTTGTGAAAAAGGTATTGGTTATAGATTTGTTGTTGACAAAACTCTTGAACTCTTGTCTATTCAGCTGTTATGGTCCCAGCTGGATTCGTCTGGATATCTGGCAACCTGAGTCAGGGAGAGTGGGAGAGGTTGCAGTACCCCTTTTGGGCAGGTTTTTACACACTGCTCCCTTAAATGACCCTTTAAATGACCACATAAAAAACGTATACAACTAGATTCATTGCTTACCAAGTGGGGTAGAGAGTCTCCAAACTTCATGTGGAATTGATTAACAAAACATTTAATGAGCCAGTAGCAGTCGACAGGATCATCAACAATCTCATCCATGGCCCGGCTTATGGACAAGAAATCTTCATTCTCCTCATCCTTTACCAACCAGATACACAGTATGTATTATTCTATTATCAGCAATCTTCATGACGGACATAAAATACTGAGGTCCATAGGAAAAACATACAATAACTATGATATATTTACATTCCTTAGTTTACATGATTTTTTATACATGTCACCTTCTGAGTTTACAGTATATACCTACACATGCAAATGTATAAACATAACTATAACAATCAAGCAACAATACTTGCCTTAAAATATTTCAAAGTCATGACCTTCACTCAACATCTTAAATTAACTCATTATTTATCTCCAATATATTTTCTTACCGGTGGGGAGATCTCCGAGCATCTAGGTAGCACTTGGCTCTCTAACTGGAACATTCGAAGGTAAACGTGAGTGGATGGTGTGGATGCATTTATGTATTGCATCACCTCCAAAGCCTCCAGAATATCTTGGTATTGTTCCTTCCTATAACCCGCAACTAATGCATGAGAATCACTATGTGGTGGTAGGATACCTATGGAAAGAGCACAAAACATAACCTTATTTTAGCTTTGATCTATATCATTTCTATAGAATTTTGCTACTTACCTAGTAATACTTTCCAAACATGGATTCTGTACATGGACGGGATTGGAAATCTTTGGCTAAATGTGCTCAACTTTTCCAAATCTGTCAACAAGCACAAACTTAAAACTTGGCACATGTAACAGGCAGGAACTTTTACGTGGATTTCAGATTTGAGAACTATGTTGTTACTCATACTTACCAAGGGGGTCGTCTTTGAGTAAGATTTCTAAAGACTTCTTCTCCTCCACTCCCCTAAAGCCAACTTTCTCATAATAGGCCGATCGAAAGTTCCTCTGAAGGTCGTCAGACATGATGGCATCTAATGAACAGAAAATAATTGTTAGTGATTATATGAAAGAGCTGTCCTCACTCAGCCAATCAGCTCTTAACCTAAAGTATCAAATAGTGATTCTAATGGCTCGCATTGTTAACGTTACGCAGAAATGAATTAAAAGGTATACAGGAGGATTTTCTACTTCCGGATGGATTATCAAGACTATCGGTCCTCCCAATTGTCATTATAATCATTCTGGTGATATGTGCTCATCAAATAAGAACAGAGAGTTTTGTTTAAAAAGTGGAGAGGGTGGTTCTTTCCTAAAATTTGAGAAAATCCTCCAATATACATTTAAGATAAGGTAAAATAAGATAAGAGATCCTGCATTCGTCCCACAGTGGAGATATTTCAATGTTGCAGCGCATATACAGCAACAACAACTTATTCTTGTATAGCCCTGAATCACAACAGCAGTCATCTCCGAGGACTTAACAAAACTATTGAAATCACCAAATCAGATCAGAGAATCAACAGTTAAGACACAAAATATACACATACAGGACAGTAGTAAGAGCACACAGGGATCACACAAAACATATGAGAAGCTGCTATGTTTCTTAGATAGCTGTAAATGCTTCAATATCAATCTTTCAAAATATCTTTAAATACATAGTGCTAAGTGATATACATATAGGGCAGGGTGATTGGTAGATAAAGTGACATTCTGAAGCTGCAGTTTTGCACATTGCACATGATTGCAGTATTTACTTATTTTCAGCTGAATGACATGTACAGGCTCAGCAGTTCTCATTGTACAGTCTGACAGCAGCAGGACTTAAGTGATGAATAAGATTGTACAAGCCCCATATTAATGAAACACATGATAAAGTGTCATCAGCTGTTACCTGTTAGCTCATAGCACTTATCTCAGCATTAGCATAACTTAAGAGGTCCACCGCGGGTCTCATCACAAAATATCTAAATATTGCATCTTATTCATTCACTCCTTCAACTTTCAGCTGAAAAGGGGTTAAAAAGAACTAAGATAAAAAGCGCTTAAGCTCCTCTTACTTCTCCGAGGCGAGCTCGAGCCTCCGGGGTTTCACTTCCGTGTTCAAGACTACCAAAATAAAAGTCTAAATAATAACGTTTGGCTTTATCCCCTATTATAATAGATGTTAATATAATAGATCCATGAGATGCATGGGCTTAATAAGAATATAGTTGAAATATATCCTGTCCCGCCACTTTTGATTTTGAATACAATAAAATGTTGATTTAAAAACTCAAGCAGTTTATGGAATATCTTCTCAGATAATTTGTTTGTGTAAAATGGGAGGTCTGAACACATACATGCAACATTGGTAAAAATTATAAAATAAAAATCCATAATCATAGTAAGGTATATATATTCACTATGAGATTATAAATACTTACTGTGAACTGTCTTTAGATAATACTAGTGAATTTTATGATTACAAGATTTTTCTTACATACCTGAGTGAGTTGATGGCTGTCAAATAAGTGTGCAAACAAATCCATGAGGAATCGTTTAATACAATTTGCAAGCCTGATATGAACACATAGGTGGGGTTCGTTTCGCAAAACACACTGGGCACAGCTTTTTCTTTTGTAACCAATGTTATATATGGTGATGGTGAAAGTATTGAGCAATTGTTCTTTTAATATTCTATGAGGTTATTTGAAAAGTATCAGAAAAAATGATATCCAATTTTGTACTGTTCCGAATATCTAAAGATAAAAAAATCTTCTGATGTGATGTATATTATAGTCGTATCTCTAATCTTAGATCTGAAAACATATATGACCACTTTTTTTTTTAATATTGCGAAAATATTGACATACCATACAAGTACAGACAAATACAATAAGACAAACAAGACAGACAACAGAGCAAATATTTAAATGTGTGTGTGTGTGTGTGTGTGTGTGTGTGTGTGTGTGTGTGTGTGTGTGTGTGTGTGTGTGTGTGTGTGTGTGTGTGTGTGTGTGTGTGTGTGTGTGTGTGTGTGTGTGTGTGTGTGTGTGTGTGTGTGTGTGTGTGTGCAAGCTCCTATGCATACACCCATCATCCTCATTGCCACTATTGTCCCTTCATTTGTTACCAGTTTGCATAATGTGTCTTAAGTGGTGCGATAAAAAGGACACAATGGGAGGCTGTCTACTTGAGGCAGGGGTGCTGTTCCAAGGACGTCTACTGTATGTGTCCTGTATCCCTAGCAGTTTTTCTTTACATGGTCAGGAAACTCACCGGACATGTCACCCACTGCGCAGGTTTGGGATTCTTCGGATTGTTGTATATGACATCATCCTCCAGCAACTTCACGCAGCCAGAAGTAGATCAACATTCCACGACCACAATAAAAACCTGATCAACTCTATGCAGTGTAGCAAGCCACCGTGTAGCGGCATCGTGTAGTGGATAGTCCTGGGTTCAAATCCCGGTCGGAACAGGGCCTTTCTGAGTGGAGTTTGCATGTTCTCCCCGTAAGTTTCCTCTGGGTACTCTGGTTTCCCCTACCACTAAAAACATGTACTGTACACGTCTGGCATGTGCCTCCTGTACTGGCGACTCTTTGTGTGGAGAGAGAGGACAGGTGCCCAAAAACAACAATTGTAAACTGCTTTGTGACTCTGGTCTGTGAAAGGCGGTATATTAATAAAGATTACTTACTTAATAGCTAAGTAGTCACTCCAGATACAGAAATTTGTCCTTATACAGTGATGGAAGCAGGGTTGCCATACAGGTGGCATATGTTTTGACTTATTTTACATGTTTTTAGCATAGACTGTATATATTTTAGTGGTGGGGGGAAACCAGAACACCCGGAGGAAACCTACTACATAAACTCCACATAGAAAAGGCCCTGTCTGGAGTTGGAATCGTACCAGGACCTTCCAGCTATGAAGCACAAACAACAAACAACAAACTGCTGTGCCACCATGTAAACCAAAAAGCACCAATTAATAATCTTAGAGTGGCCTTTTATTGTGGTCAGCAAACCAGTCCAATATTCATGCTGTCTAATCAACCTCTTGATATGTCAGACCTGTGAGCTGGGATGGAGAAGTGGTTGTGAGGAATGTCTGTTAGGGATGGGTCTGTTAAGCATATAAGGCAAAAAAGTATTTAGTCACTAGATTTAGTCAAAGATGAGTGAGAACTGTAATTTTCATCATAGTGTCAGGAATGAACCAGACAGAGACGGATCGTGGTGCGCCAAACTCTGGAAGTTTATTTAAGTTTCTCTCAAGTTCCAGTGGTTTCAATTGTCTCTTTCTCTCAGACAGAATAAAGGCAGTACACAGTTTATATAGTCATTGTCACGTCACACATCGAAAGACATACGTGTCAAATCCAGAGACTGTCACGAGTTTATCATAGTCAAAACATGGAGTCCATCAGAGTCCTTGTATAGTCCTGCACGTAGGCCATACTGCTATCTAATCCTAACAATAGCTATACCTCAACTATGTGAGACAAAATCCAGGAAATCACATCTGTCTGATTTTTTTAAGAATTTGTTCGCAAATTATGGTGGAAAATAAGTCCTAAATCCCCCCACATCTTTTATAGTAGAGGTATAGAGGTATAGCTATGAGGAAAATGACAGGCCTCCAAGTGGGAGAACTTGCACAATTGGTGGCTGACGAAATACTTTTTTGACCTACTGTATATAGAATTTTATATCATTAGGTTGTATTGTATGGTCTATGGTTTAAACCCATGAGAAATGGGAGCAAAAACAAAATAACAAAAGCATGTCTATATTGTTGTTCAGTGTATGTTTATGTGTCCATATTGATTTTGTACCTCTGGGTTTCTATTTTTATGGCACTAACATCTATGTAGGTAGTATTCAGTGTAGATAAGGAAAGATAAACCTTTGTATTACAGTCTATATTGAAAATAAAGGAAAAAAGAGTCACTTATAGGAAAAGATTTCATCTTTATTTTGAGTCTTTTCAACAATATCAAAACATTCCCAGATATCAGATAACATGAAGCAGAGCAGACAATTAAACATGTTTCCAGTTAATCAAGCACTTTATAGGCTTTGAAAAAAATAAAAATAATCATATGTACACTTGAATATCTTTATAGGCAACTTTCTGATACTTTATCTGCCTCATTCAAGTATCTCAATAACCCAACACGCAGTACAAAAACAAAAATAACAAAAAAAACAATTATAAAACGCCTGAATACCTGAATATATTTTTATTGATTTCATTTCATTCAGTAATATTTCTCAGTATGTATTTTTATATCATTGTAGAAGTGGGACTGTAACTTTTTTTTTATCTTGAAGAAAATAGGGTGGAGGTGGTGTGACTGTAGCGGCTAGTTGTGGCTGAGCTCGACCCAAGATCCATGCTGCTCCTGCGCGACCCCAATCTGGACCCACTCCTTGAACCCGAATGAGACCCAGGGGCAGAGGAAGCATTATACGGACTGCTAATCCCTCTTGAGGATATCTTTGAGGCCTGAAGCATTTTTACGCCTGTGTCTTCTTCTACCAAACAATTGTCGAGAGCATTCTTGTAACAAATTTTTAGTTTACTCTTTGGGCATGTTAGATTCTTGGTGTGCTGCCTGTCATCTTGAAGCTTCTGAGCTGTTCTTACGTCCACCCAACCCAAGCTCAACGCATCATGAATGGATCTTCTACAGCCCATTTGAGGATCATAGAGTCCCCCAGTCACAAACTGGTATTCCAAGAATCTTTGACCTGCCTCATACGGAAGCCATCTTTCTTTAATGGCTTCAGCAGCAGACATTTTACTTTTACTTTTAACATCTTCAAAGCCAATGAATGCCTTTTGAGCAGGCTTGAGTTTATTGAGCATGTCATGGGATATCAAGCCCTTGTGCGATGCCTCTTGAATGCTTACTCTGTGGCCAGTTGATGGATCAATTATACCCCCAGTACAAGCTTGTGCCTCTAAAAGTCTTTGACCAGTGATAGAATCCACAAGGCCACGGTTAACAGCTTCAGTTATGCTTATTTTCTCTACAGTATCAGTGTCAAAGACAGCACCAATGGGATTTGTTTCTTCTACACTTATTTCAACAGGAGGGTTCAGAGTAAAAGAAACACTAGAAATATGTTTAGAGGAATCAGGAGAGTCCTCATGCACTTTACTAGTTGACATGCATTCCTCTGTAACCGTGCTAGTTCTTGTTGTTATTTTCGAGGAAAGAACAGGAGTTAGAGGACTTGGCACAATTGTTGAAAAGGATGGAGCATCTGAGGATAGTGTGGATGTCACTAAGGACACGCTTGGTTCTGCACTGGTTTTGGATATCACTTTAGTGGTTGTCACAGAAGATACCCGAGAGGATTTTGAGGAATCAGTTTCACTTTGCTTTCTGCTCTCACTGAATATGTCTGTGAATTGAGTATGTAATGGATTAGAATCTGCACTAATTTTTGAAATGATTGTGGGTGATTTCATAGATGATATTTTTGTTATTGTAATTTGTTTTGTAGAACCCAAGGGTTCATTTTCAGTTGAATCACTTGAGATGTTTTTAAGTTGTTCAGTTGAGTAAGCTGTGGCAGAAGATGATGATGAATTTGAGTTTGCATCAGTTTTGGAAACTGTGGAGTGTCGGGCCGAATCAATGAAACTGCTGCCAATCATGTCTGTTGGTTGAGTGGATGAGGAAGATAATCTTGCTGTAAATGGCTTTGACAGTGGCTTTGTTTTGGATGTAATTGTTGAAGACTTTACAGAGACTATGGACTCTTTGGCAAAATCCCCATCACCATGCTGCATTTTATCAGAGGTTACATTTATAATTTGAGAAGTTGCGGATGATGGTGAGGTTGGAACAGCTGATACCCATGACTCAACACTAGTTTCGGATATGAATGTTGAAGATTTTACAGCAA